CTTGCGAGGATGGGATCGGATGAGGAGATGCCGATGCTGAACGAAGAGGAACTAAGGATGGCTCGGCTGGTGCTCAGGAGTGAGGACTTTTTGGTTTCGTGGCTGAACAAGGAGCTGGAGGCCGACTGCCGTTTCATGGAGGGGTTCTCCACGGGAGCTGTTTTCTGCCAGATATTGGACAAAATCAAGCCGGGACTGATCGATTTGAGGAACGTGGACTTTGTCTGCAATCGAATGTCATCCTTTGAAGGCAATTTCCGCATCCTGAAACAGGGACTGCTGGAGCTGGGAATCAGGAAGAAGACTGTGGAGAAGGTTATGCCGATGGAGAAGCTCCTTCATGGTCACCATTACACGCTGGGTATTCTGGCCAAATGGATGCGTCGCCTATTTCGCCTTCATGCTGAAGATTATCTTGAGAGCAAGGTGGACTATAATCCTCGGAAGCGTCGTGGATTCCAGGCTATTAGGATTGCAGCGCCGTTGATGTGCGATGCTGCCTGCCAGGCGGAACTGGGTCCCGATATGGTGCGTATCCGTCTGGTCCGCTGGGATCTGAATCTCATCGACGAGGACCAAACCTTGGTATCGGATGGAGGTGATGGCGATGTCATTGACCGGCGCCCACGTCCCGATCACTTCCTGCAACTCTCGAATGCCTCCTATGATGCGTTCAACAAAGCCGTGCGAGCCTATGTCCTGGAGAACCTGGGCATTGGACAGCCCAAGGTCGATAAGGTCAACGCTTCCACAAACACTGACTCTTAAGAGAACCACCTCTTGAAAAGGTAAACCCACCAAAAAGTCATTTATTTCCATTACTAACCAGCATTCATCCCTTCCAGCATTAAACTCATCTTTTAAAATTCCAAGTAGGATATCCTTTCGGCCCATCAGGATCCTTGGGATTCCTTCTAATTTTACCTTTTAGATCAAGTCTACTACTGAGCCTGTTCCTCTATAATTTGTCCAGTCGATGATGATAAATTCTTGTGTGAAATCTTTAAAGGGATCTGATATCCCTAGTTCCTTTAGGCCTTAAATCCTTAAATTATCCTTAAATTCATTAGAAGAACAGGACGTATTCCCATGAAATGAGGACCTTGCGACGGCCAGCTTTAAGGCTTAGCTTTACTTGTGACGAAAATTGTGTAACCTTTTAATCCAATATAAAAGTTATATAGTATTGAAATTAAAAATTATTGTTTAATTTAGAAGACTTCTTAGCCTTGTCAAAAATTAATATTAGTGACGAAAATTATGTGTACTATTTTTATAAAATATTTAAGAACCCAGTAAGAACAGGTTCTACTTTTAATTGCATTTTAATAACTTGGAAATGGTCTTAAAAAAGTAAATAGGGCTAGTGACGAAAGCAACGCAATGTTAGTAACGAAAATTGTATAATTTTTCAATGGTATACATATATCTAAGTCAACTTAGTTTAATATAAGGATAATGGTAGACATCCTCCTTAAAAAAAACGACTAATATTGGTAACGAAAATTATGTATACATTGTTTTTGTAAAATATTTAAGAAGCCAATGAAAAAAGCGAAAATTTATTATATTTAAGCATAACAATTTAATTTAAAAATTTTAAAATAGTTTTCATAAAACTAGTAAGCTTTAGTGACGAAAGTACTCAACAAAAAAGCAATATTAGTGAAGAAAATAAAACAAAAAATAGAAAGATTCTTTAAAATTAGATTAAAATATGATTAAAAGCCAATAAAAGCAAAGGTTTCTTTGATTTCCAAACCAATTTTAATAATTTTTTTTAAATAAAATAACATTTATTTAAAATACTTTATTTTTTCATATTTAAATTGATAAATATTAGTAAACTAAACCGTTTGCGATTTTTTAGAGCAGCAAATTGTATGCCGTGGAGTTTCTAGATGAAAAGTTTCCCCACAAACTTTGACGTTTGTTTATCCTTTTTGATGAGTTGGCAACTCTTGGCTTTTATGTTTCTTTTTTTTTTTAAAAAAGCTGAAAGCTTAATGCAATTAATAACTCATTAAATAAATACAAATCAAAGTGGACGCCAACGGCAAAGCTGAATGGGGCAAGGAGACTTGAATGGTAGGCAAAAAGGATTCGCCAGCGTTTGTGTTCAAAGGATATGCCAGCGTAAAATGTACCAATTAAAAATCCAATTCAGATCTCAATGGTTTGCGCAAATGAACCGCATAAAAATAGCGAATAAAAGGATATCTCTATCTGCCACAAATGGTGGCAATGAAATGTAAGAGGGTTTGTGGTTGTGTATGTGGTTGTAAGAGGAGCAAAAAGCTGCAATTTTATTCATTAAATTACATTCACATTTCATAGACAATTTCATGGCTTTCGCCATTTTTATTTCCACCTTCCGCCCACTCTCTCCAGGCACCCACCCACCCGCCCCCCTCTCTGTTTCCAGCTTGTTCCGTTTGTTTCCGGTGGATCCCTTCAAGTATCTTTTTAATTAGCGTTCTGTGCTGCTCTGAACCACTCGAAAATACCGTTACCGCTACCCACCACTATATCCTTCTCGCCCCATCGCCATATCCGCCGCTCCCCAACACTGGTCTCGTTTGCACAACTAACCCCCTCTCGTTCGCTCTCTCGTTAACTCACTCACCGCAGATTCAATTTGTGGCTAAACATTTCTCCTCCTTTTTGTGTAGCGAGCTAAATGTGCATGAAAATGTAACTGTAACTACAGTGGAGCGTCATCTTAGGGATGGGAGATGGTCTCCATATTTCGTTTTTTAAAAAGTAACTTTTTCTTTTATTTAATTCAAGATTTTTATTAAAAGAACATGGAAAATACAATTTATTTTGAAATTTTTTAACTTTTTTAAATCTTGAAAATTAATTTAAGCTTTGTTTTAGTATTAAGCCAAAACTTAAGCTTTTTTTGTTACTTTATAAATATTTTTTATTAAAAAGAGTTGAAATACATAATAAATTTATAAATTTTTGATATCTCAAAAATTAAAAGAAGCTTTATTTTAGTATTAAGCCAAAATTTAAGTTTTTTCCTTTACTTTATTAAGAATTTTTTATAAAAAGGAGTTGAAATACATAATAAATTTATAAATTTGATGTCTATTTAAATCCTAAAATCTTCAGTAAAAATTCAAAATACTATTATTTGTTTATAATTTAACTTTTAAACTAGCATTTCTAATAAAAAAAATATATTTTTAATAAAAAACAGTATCTCTTTTTAGGAATTTTAACTGTATATGGCTATACCGTCACCGATTCTGCCTTTCGATGGCACTAGCTTCATCTCGTTCTAGCTTCAGCCCCCGCATGCGCTCTCTGCAGATCCTTGTGTCGGTTCTTTCGGTCCTTTTGGTCCTTTGGCTTTGGTGCTTTAGTGCTTTTTGGCCCGTTATAATTGCGGCCCAGCCAGAGTTGTTGCTTGTTTTCCGGTTGGCTGGTTTTTCCCTCTCCCTCTACTGCCTCTGCCCAGGCACCCAGTATCCTTTCTATGTATATTCTACATCTACATATGTATCCATGAATATAAAGTCCTGTATGTGGATGAACATGTCGTGACTTGTTCGCTATATAGCGACAAATTGATAACGTTTTGTGCGATTCGCTCAAGTTGATTTTGAAGCAGGACTCACAGTTCACCGATTTCCAGATTGCAGAATCTGTGTGTAGAATTCCAGTCTGGAGGATACTGGCATATGCAGACTGGCAATTTTCAATGGCCATGGCAATGGCGGTTTCTCGATTCCACCACACTTAACTTAACTAAACCGTTATACGGACATAATAGCCATGTCTGGCATTGATTATTTTTCAAAATGGCCAATGGTCTAGACTTTAGAGGGTTTTCCAAAGCAACAGATTGTGGTTTTAAAGATTTTACGATTTTTAAACCTGATTTTGAAGATTTTATTCACTTGATACTTTGTAGACACACTTACCTTTGTTTTATTTACTTTTAAATTATGTTTTAAATGAGTGATAAATATTGCTTACATTTAAAATCTATTTTATTATATATTTTGTTGGTTTTTTCCTCTCAAAAATTTTTTTATTCAACACTATATCAGGATCAAAGAATTTAGTAATAAAATATATTTAAAAAAAAATAATAATTTCTACCATAAATAATAAATATATTTAAACTCACCTGAAACTGGATCATCCCCTCGTCCAAACTCACATCTCTACATATTCCGTTATTTGTTCCTTTTCAACATAGGTACTTTACTCAGGAGCTGCTTCCACACACACACACAAACACTGAGAACCGCCATTTATAAACTCAAAATCCGTTAAATTTATTAAACAAATATGCAATAATTATATTTTTTAAGTTTTGAAAGTATTTTTAAGGATATTAATGAGTTTTTAAGATAATAATCCAAGAAACACACGCTTTAGATATTTAAAAATCACTTGTATTCTCATTTAATTAAATAATAACTTTTAATAAGACTATATTTGAAACATTTTAAACAAAAACTAATTATTTAAAAGGATAATTAACACTTTTCAAGTCAATATAAATGTTTTTTAATAAAAGACAACGCGAGAGAACGGAAAAAACGAACCGATCGCGAAGAAGGCAGAGAGAAAACTGCGCTCAGAGAGCAGATCCTTGCCGTATGCACCCATACATGTGTTTACCAACACTAAACAGGTGTTTGGCGCGAAAAGTTTAAGGTTTAAAATTTAAACAGCCCACCTTATAAAAAACGCTTCAAAACATGCAATTAAATTTTTATTTTTGGCAAAAAAAATCACTTTCATAGAGTGCAAAGAACAAAAAAAAATTGAATCCTTTTATATATATATATATATATTACAGTTTATCCTAGTTTATGATTATATCTTTAAGTTGGCATACATATATATTTATATAGGGTTTTCTTTTTTTTTAATTTAAGATTTATAAACCACTTTCCATTTTCGATTATTGCACAAAAAGTTATTTTGTATTTTTTTTTGTAAATAGGCGATTTATATACATAGGCTTTTGGTGGTTAAGTGGGACTTGGAGGAGTCTCCTACATGGGACATCCGTGGACATAGCCAACATTCCGGAATATAGCCGCCGCGGCAGCGGATGTGAGAAAATTGCACGGATTGCTGGCAGCTGCGGCAGCGGCAGCGGCGGCACTAAACGAACCGCTCAGCCCAGTGGGGCAGCATCCCAATGCCCCACCACCGCCACCACCCTCCTGCACCACAAAGTCCTTCTCCAAGGTGGCCTGGTGACGTAGTTGCTCCAAACGTAGCTGATTCTGGCGCTTCCATTTGGTTCTATAAAAAATTAAGAATTTTAAAACATTTTTTTGGAGAATTAAATATACCGGTGACGAAAGTCTCATCAGATTTTAAGGCATTCGTCACCAAACTTGAGCACACTCACCGTCGATTTTGGTACCAGGTCTTCACTTGGGTCTCGGATAGATTCAGGGTCTCGGCCACATCACTGCGATCCGCCACACTGAGGTACTTCTGGCAGCGGAACTTGCGCTCCAAGTAGGCCAACTGGGCGTGGGTGAAGGCGGTGCGCCGGCGACGCGGCTTCCGTCCGCTCTTGCTCAGCTGCAGCTTGTGATCCGCATAGGAGCCGCCACCTGGTCCACCACTGCTGCCGTTGCCACTTCCACCGCCTGATCCTCCACCGCCACCAGATCCTCCAGCTCCTCCTCCTCCTGCACTGCTAGATGCGCCCTCACCCCCGGAAGCTGCAGCCGCCAAAAGACCGGCGGCAACGGCAGCAGCAGCACTTAGACTGGCACCACTGCCAGGACCTGGGGTGGCCGAGCCACAGGACTCCACACTGGACTCGTCCTGGTGGTGGGCAAAGCCATGATGATTATGATGATGCTGATGATGATGCGGGTGGTGGTGCGGCAGGTGGTGGTGGTGGTGCGAGTGACGGTGCGCCAGTAGCAGATCCTGCTGGCAGCCGGCGGCTGTGGAATCGGGCGTGGACCGGTCCTCGATATCGATGTCCGAATCATCATTCGAGAGTTCCAGTTCTGTTTCAAAACAGAAAAAAAAAAAAAGCTTTTAAGTTTTTGAAAAAAGAAAAAAGGAGGATTTTGAAAAGGATATCATATGGAAACGCGTGCAACCACTTGCGATAGAAAGTAATTATCCTTATTGGGCTAAATATCCTTATCGAAAAAAAAAATAATAAAGTGGGCGTCGGTCCACGATAAGGACGAATCGGATGAGTTGCAATTTGTAATTTTTGTAATTTGGAGTAATCAACATGTTATTTATATCCTGCCAACACATCCTGATTCCTATAATAGGACTCGGCGGACTCACAGGACTCTGCGGGCTGTCTGATTAAATTCACGTGTCGTCTGTGGCTCTCGATTGTGTTTCCCATTGGAATTTTCATAGCTTTATCCTTGACACTGGGAGAAATATTTTATATTTCGGACTAGGTTTAAGGAATATTATTTTTTAAAATTAAAAATCAAGGGAGCTATTTGTTAAGACATTTTTTAAAGGTTTTTTTATTTAATAATTTATATAGTTTAAGAAATTTTCTTTTATAAACTTTTAAAAAACATTTTTTTTATAAAAATAGCCTGCTCTTTCGTCACAAAAATACCAAAAAGATCCGAAAAATTCATATTTTAAGAGGTTTTTCTTGCTTTTTAGATTATTTTTAATTTAGTAATTTAGTAATTTTAAGATTACTATTTAAAGATTATTACTTTAATAATTTATATATTAACATTAATATATTATAGAAATTGAACTAATGAATTTTTTTGAATTAATAAACATAGCATGCGCTTTCGTCACCAAAATACAAAAAAAAGATCCCTGAATTCATATTTTAATATTAATATTAAGAGGTTTTTCTTGCTTTTTAGATTATTTTTATATAATTTAAATATTATTTTGTTATTTTAGCTATAAGATTACTATTTCAAGATTACTACTTTAATAATTTATATATTTTATAGCCAGGATAAAGGATATCTTTGAAAGGATATTTTCCTAAAGGTTTAAAACTCTTTGAAATTTTCTTCCTAAAATAAAATAAACCACAATTATATATTTTATATAAAAAAAAGTATTATTTTAAATTGTTTTAAATAAAGCTATTTTTTTTTAAAAAGATATACAAAATTTATACACCCTTTTAGATTATTTTAAAACAATTTCCCATTCAGTATATATATTTTTTTCAAGTGTCTGTACATCTTTGACTCTGAATAGTCCTTCGCCACAGGCGCTCACGTGTGTCCGCCCAGCAAGGAATCCTGTGTGTGTGTTTTTTTTTTGCATTTTTTCCGCCCCTTTTAAAGGGCGGAAATTATTTTTATATCTGTGTATATTTTAACCCCAAATGGATTTCGACTTGTGATTCTATTTATACCGATACTGAGCAGACAGGATTCGAGGAAACAGGATTCAGTGGCTTGGGTGGGTGGGTGGCTTGGGAGGTTATTCAATTATGTGTGGAATGTGTGGAAGGATATCCTGGGGAGCGTCTCGAGTGAGTCCTTTTCTTTTTCCTCGAAAAGTCACGTCGTATCAATTTGCGGCACAATTGCCATTTAATAGGCACTTGAACTGTGAGATATATGTTATGGACATATGCTTAAGAAAAAAAAAAAAAAACTGAACAGATATATATAATATGAATATATGTATTTTTTAGCGCGTGTGCCGGCAATTTAGTCTGGTTTAAGGATGACGTACTTTCGCATTTCGCAATTTAGTTGAAGGACTCAATTATTGGAATATTTTTAAACACACGTTCCTTTAGAAAGTCCTTTACAAGAAAGAAAATAAGGTAAAGTGAAAGTTCTACTTTCTCTCACACATAACTGACAACAATTAGCCCCTAAATAGTTCTAATTGTTGAGCTAAACTTTATTTAATGTCATGACTAATTAGCAAAACAACCCAAAAACCCCACACGGAGCTACGAGGACCAAAAAGCAAAGTCTGAGGACGAAAAAGCACCTGAGGCCTTATGCTATGCACTTGCGAAAAAAATAGTTACTATCTTTAAAAATTATTTAAAATTGAATTTGTATTTTAAAGATAATGAATAGAAGTACAAGGAAGATGTCTTTGGGCACATAAATTATCAAAATTTTTACAAAAAGCATGCTTTTCAAAGTATTTTCAATAATAACTCACGTTTTTGGAGTATTATCAATAATAGAGCATGCTTTTAAGAGTATTTTCATTAAAAAAAAGCATGCTTTTTCATTATTATGTATAAAAAAAATGATTTTTCTTCATTAGTTTTAATTAGAAAGCAATCTTTTAAAGTATTTTCTTTAAAAAAGCATGCTTTTTGAGAACAAAAGCGAGTTTTTTGACAAATTTTATTAAAAGAGCATGCTTTCTATTACATTTTTACTCAAAAACCCCGATTTTTGAGAATTTTTCTTAAAAGAAAGTATGTTTTTTAAGAATTTGTCACTACAAAAGCATGCTTTTTTGAGAATTTTCATTAAGAAAAGCGTTTTTTTGAGACTTATTTTAAAAAGCATGCTTTTTGTACATTTTTACTAACAAAATCCTGCTTTTCTATAATTTTTATTAAAAAAAAGCGTGTTTTTTGAGATTTTTTTTTAAAAGCATGCTTTTTGTACATTTCTACTAACAAAATCCGGCTTTTTAAGAGTTTTCAGTAAAAAAAAGCATGCTTTTGAGGAATTTTTCATTAACAAAAGCATGTTTTTTGAGTATTATCATAAAAGAGCATGACTTTTAAAAATTTTCAGTACAAAAAGCATGCTTTCTGAGTATTCTTATAAAAAAAAAGCATGCTTTTTGAGTGTTTTCAGTACAAAAAGCATGCTTTTTGGGTATTTTAGTACAAAGAGCATGTTTTTTTCAGAAATTTCAGTACAAAAAGCATGCTTTTTGAGTAGTTCCAGTACAAAAAGCATGCTTTTTGGGTATTTTTAGTACAAAGAGCATGTTTTTTCAGAAGTTTCAGTACAAAAAGCATGCTTTTTGAGTAGTTCCAGTACAAAAAGCAGGCTTTTTGAGTAGTTCCAGTACAAAAAGCAGGCATTTTGAGTAGTTTCAGTACAAAAAGCATGATTTTTGAGTATTTTCAGTACAAAAACCATGCTTTTTGAGTATTTTCAGTACAAAAACCATGCTTTTTGAGTATTTTCAGTACAAAAAGCATGCTTTCTAAGTAAAATTTTACAAAAAGCATACTTTCTGAGTATTTTTATTAAAAAAATCATGCTTTTTTATAGTTTGTGAAAATTTTTAACAAGTTTTTCTCAGTGTCCTTTCGCAGCCTGTGCGTGGGCGTCACAAGGATTTGTCATAGCATTCATATCCCACATGTCCCTGTGCCAGGAGCCAGACAAAAACAAAAACAAAAACGAAAACGAAATAAATAGAAAACAATGAAAAGTGCTTGTACGTGACAAATTGCTTGAGAACAGGTTACGGAGCAAAGCAGTCCTGCGCCAACAAAACCAACCAAACAAGGCAGTCCACAATTAAATTATTGCCCCAAGCGTCCCCCCCTACTGCCACTCCATTCCACTCGCCATTCGTTGCCACGCCCCCACACCCACCCACTGTTAAAAGTTTTGTTTTTGTGATAATTGTGCGGAGGTGTTAGATTTAAATGCCAAAGGCAGGATAAATGAGAGTAAAAGGACGAGTGCGAGAAGGACACTGAGCAAGGCAATTTGTCAGCGATTTTAGACACTCATCCCCCCACAACAACAATAACATAAACAACATCAAAGAAGGGGACAAAAAGGATGGAGAATAAAGAAGAGAGACTAATTGGCCAAACAATGTCGTTTAAGACATACGACTTTTGAGGTTATGTTTGATTAACAATTAAGTGGCTTTTTGCTTTTTCATTAATTAAAATAATAATGGGGGTAGGTCTTTAGGTGTTTTTAGGCTTTTTTAGGCGTTTATTCCTCAATAAGCTTTTAAAATTGTAATTTAATCCCTTTTTTATACTTCAAGTAAGTGAGGTTAGTGTTTGTTTACAAAATCATGTTCAAACATGTTTGGTTTTTTGTAAAAACTTCTAAAAAAAGCTTAAAAAACGTTACAAAAATAAGGTCTTTGAGAGAAAGTCATTTATATTAAGATTAATACATCTAAAAATACTAAAAATAAATAACTATTTTAATAAAATAGAAATAAAAGATCTTCAAAATTTCGAAAAAATTTTTTTTTAACATCAATTAGTCTTAGGCAATGTTATTAATTTAAATAGTTATTATTAATATAAATTCAATAATAAGTTCATAATTAAATATGCCATAAAAACATTTGAAATTAATGAAGTCCACATTTTTAAAAATGTAAGATATTAATATTAAAATGAAGATATAATATTAAATAAAAACTAGTTGTTAAAGTCAATGGAATATTTCTATAGATTAGAGTTCGATTTTACTAGATTTTTATTAAAATATTTTCAAGGCTATATTTATATTTTATAGAATAGATATTATATAAAACTCACCCGAATCTGTTTGCCGTCGAGTGATCAAATCTCCCAGGAGATCGCGTATCAAAAAGGACTTTGAACTCTGCATTTCGATGAAGGATTAAGGTGCTTTCTCCGTTTGGATGTTTGTTTCTTTAAAATAAAATATTATCCCTCTTGCAAAATAAAGTTGTTTTAGTTCCGTATTTTAAGGCAAACACTCTATTAAAATCATTTTCAGCACTTTTATAAACTTTAACAAAAAAAATTCAAAGAACTTTTATGGTTTTTTTTTATTTTTTTATCAAGTCCGGCGGGTTTTGGGTTTATATCCTGCCAGTCCAGGATGTGTGTAATTAAATATTCTCCACGCACACACACGCACTCCACGCACAAAAAAAAAAAAACAAGTAACTGTAACTGTAACTGTAAACAGAACCGTTAAGCGCCGCGTCAAATGAACAACTGAAATGCGAAACGCCGAACGTTTATTAATCCTTTTAGCGAACATCGTCAGGATTCAGGATTCAACCTCCAGCCTCCCCCCCCCCACCTATAGATGTGGAAAGGCAAGTGAATTACGCGGATTTGTTGCTGTAAACGAGACAGTTTAGCGTCGACGCTGGCAGAGCTAACAACAACAACAACAACAACAAAAATAAATAATAATAAAAAAAAAATAAACACATATCCTGGGAAACTTTTGCAATGGCCGCTGCCATTTAACCGTTATTTAATCAGTCCATCTGTTGCCATCTCGTTTACACGCAAACTTCCGTCGGCCGTTAGCCATTTTGTTTACCGTTAGACGGGTAGAGAGCATATCTATGCATCTCTATCTACGCACAGGGTTGCCGCCATGCCATTGGCCAATGATTGGGATAACAACCCTTAAAGGAATATCCTGTAAAACAACCCCTGTTTAAGCTTTCTTTCAGGCAGGTCCTGACAGTCCCGTTATAGTCGTTAGTCGTATTTCTGAGAAGCTCGCGGAAGGACCAAAGCCAAGCGTCGCAGGACAGGATAACCCTGTCCAAGCCGTCGGCAAGTCGACAACCCTAATCAGGGCTCATAATTACTTTAAAATCTTGAATAGAATTTTAATTTTTTTTGTTTTTTTTTTTTTATTTAAATATAAATATTTTAAAGTCCTTGCTAAGGACTAAGGACTATGGTCTAAGCAGGAGGTGATGGTTATGATGGAAGGAATACGACATATACCTGTTTAGTTCTTGCCCTGATCGATCAGATCCAAGGCCGATATCGCCGCTCCCAGGAGGTGGATGGAGCCAGTTACCAGAACATCTATCTCTCCATTGTCTCCGTTGTCCAGAGGATATCTCGCCCGGATGGCGGTGAAGACCTCACAGACAGTGCCGTACACCTGACTCCGATCCTCCTGGCCAAGACGATGGCATATTTCCCGCCACTCCTGGCCAATTCCCTTGGCCCGTTTCAGTTGCATGTCGGGCGTGAATCGGACCATCACCTGGCTGGGAGCATTGGGCGTGGTGGTGGACAGATTGGGCACAAAACAGACCATGTCGAAGGCGCAGCTGCTGTTCACCACCTCCAGCAGTGGCCCCACACCCGACTCTCCCGTACGATTGAAGATCAAGATCTTGGGGTTACTTCTGTTACAAAAAAAAAAGGATAATATTACTCATCCTCCTGGTCCATCTAGAATCTAGGTGACTCACCTTCCCTTGATGCTCTTGGTGAACCAATCCATGCACACGGCTATGCTCTCGACGGTGTGGGCGCCGTCCAGATGCAGTCTGATTCCCCGCCAGTCCACCAGCTGGCACCTGCCCGGCCAGTGGCTGTGGGCAAGTCCCTCCAGGATCTGATCATTGATGACGAGCTCGTTGGGCGACCAGGGCGTCGGCGGGAGGGGTTTCTTCGTCTGTCGGGACATCCAATCCATCGCCAACTGTATGGCCAGAGATCCGTTCAGTCTAATGACATGATTGAAGGTCGGCCAGTGTCTGGAATACTTCTCATCCCCCTGGAAGTAGTCCTCGGTGGCGGGAACCTCACAGAACAGAGTGGCTCCCTTCTCCTCAACCCGCTGCCGTATCACCCGGAGGCACTCCTCCTGCGCGGCATGCGTGAAGACATGTGATCCTGGCTTGATGATGCCCGCCTTCTGCCAGGCAATCTCTCCCAGTGTCCGTCCCAGGAGTTCCGTGTGCTCCAGCCCCAATGATGTGATGCCCACAGTTTGTACATTTCGTAAAATATTCGTGCAGTCTCGGTCTCCGCCAATGCCCACCTCCAGCACGGCCACGTCCACATTCTCCGCCACAAAGACATGAAAGCCCAGTATGGTCAGGAACTTGAAATAGGCTGGCATGTCGTGCTCATGCTCTCGCCGCTCCCACAGCAGGTTGTAGACCTTCCAGAAGTGTTCCGTGAACTTTGCCTTGGCCAGTGGCTGGCCATCGATACGGATGCGTTCGTTGGTGGACAGGATGTGGGGTGAGGTGTAGAGTCCAGTACGGAAGCCATGGTGGCGCAGCAAAGACTCGGTCAAAGCGCAAGTAGAACCCTGGAAGGGAAACACTCCATATGTTAAGTACTATCAGAAGTCTGCGATTATGTTTATATATCTGATATATACATTATTTTGTTATCTATACCAACATGCCGAAAGGAACGGAGCTCCCATAATGGGACATATGATAGTTCCAAAAACAAGAAATAACTGGAAAGGGAGGTTGGGGATCATAATACGACTCGGAGGTACCCTTAGTTGGAATTCTCTTCCCCTTTTTTTTAAACAAAAAAAAGACCTAGGCTGTTCTAGTTCTTTAGAATGAAATAATATACTTTTCAGACTTTCATTGAAAAGTAAACTGATATACCCTTTGAAAAAAGAAACCATAATGGGTACCAAAAACCCAAACAGATCCATCAAAAAAATATCAAATTGAAAGCTAAACAAATCTTATCAGCAGAAGAGCGATTAGCAGCGTTCTAATTCCTATAATTCTCCCGTCTTATAGAGAGACAACTGAGAGAATTGAGAACTGAGAACTCTGAGGAGAGCTGAGAGTGAGAAAAGTTAATTAATTAATTAACTAGAGAGCTAGAAGACCTTCAGTTGGATAACAAATCCCCAAAAAACAAAAAACAAACAAAAAACCAAATAAAAAACAAGTTCATGAACTTTGGGGAGGCCCTCACCTTGCCCTTGGTACCAGCCACATGGATGAAGGACAGCTGCTCCAGGGTCTCCAGGGGCAGGCCGCTCCTCTCCAGATACTTGATTGTATCCACAACGGTATCCACTTTGGGATTTTTAATGGAATTCCGGAGGGCAGCATCGTTGGACTGCAGAGAGTTTAGTTTTTGAATAGCAATCTAAAAAAAAAAAGATACAAATATTAAAAAAATATTAAAATATTTTAAGCTTAAAATATTTAACAATTTTTGTATGTTTTTACAAGTTTTAAAGAATCTTTTAGATATTATTATAGATATTATAGCCATATCTATGACATAAACATCAAATAATGATTTAAAACATCTGCCTGCTTTAAATATTACACTTTTTTTAAAGAGTTGCCTTGGAAATACTTGTAAAAACATAAAAATATTAAAATTAAATGTAGAACTCACCTCAAATCCTTCGTTAACATCATTATTGTAGACATGGTCATGGTTAGAACCATTTTCACATCCATTACTTTTGAATTTCAAAGGAGTTTTTTGATGATAGAGCACCAGATCCGCCAGGCTGGAGGAGGAGAACTCCTGCTGTGCTGTATACCGTATGTCTTCCATGCGGCGAGGGATTACTGTACTGCTGAGGGTGCGTAAAAGGTGCGGATTTGTGTTCGCAGCGGCATGACAGGTGCGGCGAACTAAGCGGCTCAGTTGGTGAGCAGCCATATTTATGGCCGATCGTCTAGCTCTCCCCACTCACTGGTGAGCGGTATCTGGGGGGAATGGGGAGACACACACACCAAACAAAAACAAAAAACTGAGAAACTTGTAAAAAAGAACAGTCAACTCCAATTTATTCATAGAAACAGTAGACTAGCTGACTGACTAGCTGATATGCTAAATGATTCGGAAGCGATAAGAGGAAGCGATAAGAGAGCCGCCCAAAAAAAAAATGAAATCATAAAATATACGCACGTGTCAGTAATTTAAATATTGCGCCACTTATCGATATCTAGATAACTAGAAATCCGATGACAGCAAAACAGTTGCAAGAAAAAAAACAACAACAACAAATCAAAACAATTACTTGTTTGGAAATATAAACAAACCTGACACACACTGTAGTTACATAAAACCACTCACCCGATAACATAATCTGGTTTGTTTACGTTTGGCGGTAACTTCATCGCATTATGGCCAGCAACAATTACAAAAACATAATACCAAGAATACGTTGTTATTGCACGCGACTTTAAAAAGCTTGCTGCTAGAGATGTGTGACTAGCCGATAGTTGGGTAACCCAACAGTCTGGCAGCACTGGCAGTGACTTAAGCGAGGCTTAGAAACCAGATTTTATCAATGAAACTTATAAATAAACAAGATATTGAACTTGTAATTATTTATTTATTATTTTAACTTATTATTGTTTTAATTTTAAAACTAACTTTTAGTTGGCAATACAGTTGGCAACTCAAACAGTATCAGCTGGCAAGTATCGATGGTTTCCCATCCCTAAGCCACGCTAAAATTAAAAATCAAAACAAACACCATGCGTCTGGGTATTTGCGAGGTGTGTGCCGCCAAGGAGGCCATCTACGCCTGCCCCAAATGTGAGGTGAAGACCTGTAGCCTGCCCTGCGTCCGAATCCACAAAAAGGAGTTACAGTGCGATGGCCAAAGGGATCGAACCAAGTTTGTGCCCCTTAGCGAGATGACCGCCCGTGAGTTTATGAGCGACTACTGCTTCCTGGAGGAATGCACCCGCTATACGGAGAACCGTAAGACGGACAAATGCAAGAGCTACACCCACGAAAACAGAAACTTACCCCAGAGTCTGCATCGACTGCGATCTGCCGCCAAAAGGCGCAACATCAACCTGCGCCTGCTGCTTCCCAACTTCAGTAGACGAAAGGAGAACACCACATACCTCGACTGGAAGCGGCGGCACATCTCGTGGCGGGTCGAGTGGCTATTTGTAAACATACCGCCTGTGGAGGAGGACAAAACCATCAGTTTCGTTGACGCCCGCTGCGATGAGACGCTCAGCTTGGCGGCTCTAATCCTCAAATACGTGGATCTTGACCAGGAGGCGGCTCGGGATCAGAGGAAACACCTGATCCACCATCAATCAGCGGGCATTGGGCAGCTAAGCTTTTGGTTGCGAGCCGAGGGAGTGCGAAACAGCAAAGGACGATGCTATCGCCTGAAGGCGAACCAAACTCTCTCAGAGAATCTGGCAGGAAAGACGATCGTGGAGTTTCCCACCATATTTGTCAACTACGAGCAGAAGCCTCCAACGAGCTATCACCAAATAGAAAGTGGTGGGTTTTCTAATATTTTTTTTTATAAATTCTTTGATATTTATGAACCTCTTTTAGATGAAGAATTCGAGGAGGAAGATGAGGATCTGGAGGCCCATAAAGTCAAAGAGCCAGCTGAAGCTTCTTCTTCTTCTGAAGAACCACAGGCAGCTGAAGAAACTGAAGAAGAGGAGGAAGAAATGCCCGAGAGCGAACTGAATCAAATACTGCAAGAACTGGCGGCCAATCTGGCCAATCCAGACGACATGCCAATGGACTCTGAAACCGAATCCGAATAGGAATAAATAATAAATCTTCCCCCAAAAACTTACTATTTTTTTACATAAATATTGTGTATTTTTTTCAGACGCATTTGAATTTATTTTTTATTTTTTAAATATATATATATATATTTTTTTTTAGACTAATTAAACGTTAAGAATTCATACCACACTTTGTTATATCGCTCTAGTTCCGTCTTTGTTAAATCTGTATTTTTCATTATATATATTTTATATATATATATATATATAATGTATAAGTGGTTTATGGTTTTTAAGGTTTAATCTTAAATTTGTGTACAATTTGTTGTGTGGTCTCTGGATTTAAACGACTTGCACAGCAATATATATATTATTTGTCCCTAGTTTTTCATTTATATATATATATTTTTTTTATATAGATTTTAGAATTTAGAATCTACCAATTGGCATTTATTTTATTTTGTACATAATACATTATGTGTGTGTGCCAGTTTATATAATTTTTTTATATATATATAATTTCTATATAAATTTCTCATCTATTAATATTTTTTTGTCGTTTTTTTCGCTTTTTTTTTTTGCCTGCACCAGTTATTGATTAAAATTATAAATTAAAGCATTAATTATATAAACAAACAAAGTTCTAACAAAGAAATAAACATTTTCAAAATGCATTTTTCCAAAAATTCCAACACAAACTAAAAAAATATACAAATTATTGGACAAATTAAAAAAAAAAAACAGAACAAAAAACCATTTTTAAAAAATTGTTCTAAAAAAAAAACATATATAGTTACACATTCATGTAATGGAATTATTTTCGGGAGGTCGGGAAGAATTCGGAAATTAGATTAGAAACACTTAAAATGAAATCTTTTTGACCTAAACTTTTTTTCCATTTTTTTTTTAAATATATTTAATATTTAAGAAGTGAAATACAGCAATGCATTATGAAAAAAGTAGTGTCTGTCCTCCCATCGGATGTACATCGTGTTCGGGATCCATATACATATAGTACATATATAGTATATAAGCTAAACAAAAAATAATTATAAAACTATGCAACATACAAAAGAAACATGTATTTTTTTTAGGAGAGGTTTTCAGGGGGGAATTGGGGTGTGGGGGGCAACATATATATATATATATATATATATATATTTAGCTAGTCGTACATAAATATCCTTTTTTTCATTATCCTTTTTAATCCTTTTTAATGCAAAAACAACACACACTTTAAACATTTTTTCTTGAATAAAGTTTCTCTCTTTTTTGTTTTTAATTTAGAGCTTTGTTTTTTTTTTACACACACGCACACTAATTAAGAAGAAAAAAAATTAAAATTAAAGACAGACAAAGGTGGTGGGTGGCTGGGGGGCTGGGGGGCTGGGGGGCTGGGGGGGGTTATAATATATCAAGGACGCGTGTGTGTGTGTGATCCTTTCAAGTTGGAAAATAATTATATATCGTAGGTTTTTCTATTCTTTATCTTTTTTTTTTTTTTTTTACGTAGCTCTTCGTGGTGCTGCTGCTGGTGAAAGAGATGGAGTGTACAGAATAGAAAGAGAAAGAAAGAGAAGAGAAGAAAGAGAAAGAAGGAAAATCCTTGTATCAGTTGGCCAATCCTCCAAAAAAATGCTCCAAAAACACAAACCACTCACATTTCGTTGGCAATTCGTTCTAATCCTTCTCCTCCTCCTCCTCCTCCTCATTCTCATCTTTGATTATCCTACATCCTACATCCTTATCCATATCCTTGCTACTGGGGCACAAAGTAGCCACCCTGAGGCACAGCCGCTGGTGCCATTATGGGAGCCAGCACGTTCTCGGGTGCCGCCGACATGGGTGCACCCGATGGATTGAAAACATCCACATACGAGTTCTTCAGGGCTGCGGAAATGGATGTGAACTTTAATCCGAATCCTGGAGAGAAATGACTGTGTACTTACTGCGATTACGTTGCATCTTGAACATGTTGGACTGCAGCTTGGGCTGGGCACCGCCGGGAGCGGATGGATTAGCCGCCGGGGCCGCTGGCGATGGAGCTAGACCGGGCGAGGGAGCTAGGCCGGGTGCTGGTGATGGGGCTGGTAGTGGAGCCACTGCTGCCACGGGATGCTGATGCAGCCACTCGGGCGCCGGAGCAGCCGTATAGTCAATGGACTGTGATGGCGCCTGCTCCATGAACGTGGGTACGGCTGGCAGGGATTGCGGTCCTGGCGGCCCTGGCGGTGCTGCTAGCGGGGGTCCTCCTGGCCCTCCGCCCATTCCCAAGTCACTCATCTTGGGCGGCGGCTTAAAGTTCTCCACCTCTTCGCCACCGCCCTCGGTATTGGTCCAGCACTTGCGCTCCTTGTCCCAGACAATGGTGGGATTCTTGTCGTCTGGGAGAATCATTTGGTTCTTGGGCTTCAGGGAGAGCTTGTTCCAGAGACCGCCGAACCAGCCGGAGTTCTGGTTGCCAGGGCCACTGCAAGGGACAAAACAGTGTTAGAGGGTATCAGAGGCAAGGATGTGAGAGAATCTTACCCAGGATCGGCGCTATTTGGTTTTCCCGCCGCCGCCGGCTTGCCAAGGGAAGGAGTCGCCTCCGCTGCCGGACCCGAACCCGGACCAGGACGGCCAGCACCGCCATCGTCCTCGTCGTCGTAGCTCTTGGACTTGGGCATGGATATGGCCGGACGTGATGTCTGGAGCTGGCATTTGAACAAAATTGGGATTAGTTTTGGGTCTTTGAAGAATTCTTCTTCGAAAAATCACAAAAAAAAGAAACAATGGTGTCATGGTGGGAGTGTTGGTTAGTAACAGAGATTAGTGTAATTAGGGGGGGGTTTAGTTCATCAATTAATCGAAATTAAATCAAAATCGAAACTGGCGCAGTCAAAAATAGGTCTCAATCTCAGACAAGTTGCTCTCGAAGGCTTAAAGATATAACAAGGATTGCTTACAATTCTATAGAGTCGGTATCATATATATATATATATATATATATATATATATATCGGGAGAGAGAGAGAGAGTTCTACAAACAGGTACAAAAATAACCCGGTTGGAGGTTGGATCAAGGTACTCCTACTACCAACTACTGGTTTACAATTTCTTCTTAGAACTAAGTGGAGCATCGATGTCATAGGTTCGAACAGTGCTAGTGGTCCTTCCTGGTTGCTGCTGTGGCTGATCCTTCTTCTTCCTGTCCAAGTAGCTCTCAAAACGACTCAGGCTCTGCTCCACTTCGGAGCACATCTTCTTGTAATTCAATGGTATGGCCGGATTGGCTATCAGCTCCTCCATTGACCACACATGCTGCGGCTGGGCCTGGCTACTGGCGGCCTGCTCCTGCTCCTGCTGGGCCTTGGTGGCTATAATGCCGTACTTGTTCAGCAACTCTTGCCGCCGATAGTAATGCCTTTCATCGTAGAGCAGGTCATCAGGGTCATCGGGGTCATCCTCCTCCTCATCATCATCATCATCGTCGTCTTCCTCGCCCTCGGCCTGCTCCTCACCCTCGGCATCCTCATCTATAACATCATAATCGTTGAGGACATAGCTCCTATAACGCTGCAAGTCACTCCGATCGGCATTCGCCTCGGGATCATAGGAACTGCTCTTCTGCACCTGGCCCAGTGGCATGTCAATGGGATAGGTGCCATTGAAGACGATGTGCGGCTTCCGGGCGAGATGGTATTGCGATGACTTGGGCTTGGCCAGGGCCAGAGATTGATTCTCCAATTCCAATGCCAGTTGGTGTTCCAGTTCCTGTTCCACCGACTCATCAATGGTGGTGGGAAGAATAAAGTTGACTCTTTTCTGGTTGGATCGCAGGGAGGAGGCAGTTGCTCCTCCTCCACCACCACCTCCTGTTGTTAGGGTGGGCATGGGCGTGGCGGCAACTGTGGCTGCGGCTTTGGCGGCTATGAAACGTGTGGGCGTGGTAAGCGTTGTGGGCGTATGGGTTAGATAGTTGTGGCCGCAAGTAGCTGATGTGGCAGATGTGGCAGATGTTGCACCTTGGTTGCTGCTGCTGCTGCTGGTAGCTTGTTGACGTTTATTTTTGTTGGAAGTGCTACTTACATCATTCAAATTGAATGCCTTAGTGGTGGATGTGGCTCCTCCTCCTGGTAGTGCTGCTGCTGGTGGCTTTTTGCTCGAGGAGCTGGAGCTGGTGGTGCTACTGGTGCCTCTGTCCAGCTTCAAGCCCTGCGACTTGAAGCGATTACCATTGCTGCGACTATGCTTCTTCAACTGGAGCTGCTGTTTCTGCTCCTTGTCCTCCTCCACCACCTCTACCTGCTCCTCCTCAACTCCTCCACCTCCACCCGGCTGGTGATTCTCAACCGGTAGCTGCATTCCATGCGGACATAGATGTTTGGTTTTCATTTCAAAGAATTGTACTTTTGTTAGTTTTTCAAAGCGAGATTCTTCTACTTCTATAGAGGCTTCTACAACAACACACACACAAGTCAACTCAAAACACAGGGCCAGCCAGCTGGACAGATCCTGCCCAGCCAACTTGGAAGCAAAAACAAAAGACCTCACAAGCTCTACTCTCTAATAATCCTACAAGAAGGGGGCATCTTTCGAATGGAAACCCCTCCCACTCACCTCATCGCCGTAGGGCGGCTGCTGGGATCCCGACCAGTAGTCGTAGCCATAGCCCGGACCCCCGGGAGCTGCTGCATCTGACGACGGCTGGTCGTACGATGGATACTCCTGCGGCTGGACAGGATGATGTTGCAGTTGCTGTTGCGGATCGTAGAGCTCGGCCGCCGCCGGCGTTGCCACATTATCGTTGCCATCGTTTGGGAGGTAATTGTAGCCAGGATACCCGGCCACCGGAGCAACTGCCGCTGGCGGAGCAGCAGGAGCATCCGGAACCGGCTCATACTCCGTCGGCTCGTATGGACTTGGAACAGCGTTCGGATCGTAGTAGGCATTCTGCTGTGGCGGCAGCGGCGGCGGTGGCACTTCTTGGGGCTTCTGGGTCTGGAGGGTGCTCTCCAGGTTGGCGCCGTCGTACTGCATGTTGAGCTCCTTGAACTGCTGGTTCACTTCCGCGAACTGCTGGTTGATGTCGTTCTGCTGGAGCTGCTGCTGTTGCTGGACAGGATCCTGATGCTCCGGTTGTGGCTGGAAGTACGTATAAAGGTTTCAAATGGCGACCGTGACATTGTGGCGACCGTGACCTACCACATCGGCCAGTGACCGCAGCTGACGCAACCAGGCCTTCTCCTCCGGCGCCGCGCTATCCTTGCCAGTGGCATTCGGGGGACTGGCAAAGGACACCCTATTGATCAGGATGGGATCATGGTAGCGCAACCTTTCAGCCAATCCACAGACCTAAAAGAGGAACCATGAAATGAAACCACAATAGACGCAATCAAATCCCCTTACCCTCTGGATAAAATCTGGATCATAGCCCTCGGGCTTCAGTTCGATGTGACGGGCTATCTGCTCCAAGTAGTTGGTGCAACGGAAGTGCTGGCCATAGTCCAGTATCCGGGTGGCCAGCAGGAACTTGTAGTGCTGGAACGGAGCGATGCTGAACTTGGGATCCGACAGGGAGCGGGCGTACTCGTAGATCTCGGTCATGATGATGGCCTCGTTGCTGGCAAACTCGTTGAAGGGCTTGTAGTGGGAGGCGCCCAACAGGATCAGACGGGGCACGTTGGCCGTGAGGCTAGTCAGCTCCGTGGCGGAGCTGTCGTAGCGGCCGAACTCCTCCTGGGCCACCAGATAGCAGAAGTGCGCCGCATAGATGTCGCCCCGCTGGAACAGGGTATCGCCCAGGGCCACCACCGAGCTGCGATCGTATTCCGGCTGCCGGCTCTTGTTCGTCACGAGAATGGAGAGATGGGAGCGCCAGTCGCCCCAGCGCTCGTCCCTCAGCTGGCTGACGCAGGCCGGCGTGTGGCAGGACTTCATCTGGTAGAGGGTCTGCAGGGGATCATTGGTCTTGATGGCGCGACTGAGGAACTTCTGGGCCACGTCGGTCAGGGCATAACGATCCTCGTACAGGGCCAGGAAGAAGGCGTGCGTCCACAGGCCATTGTCGGTGGCCCACTGGAGTGCCTCCTCCACGTTGCCGCGCAGGACATAGCTGCGGAACTTGTCGGTGGCCGCCTGCTCCGAGAGCGGTGTCGGCGCCCCAGCTGCTAGAGAGGATGCCGTCAGTAAGGGATTACACCTGCAAGTTCCTATCTTACCTCCAGCACTGCTAGGTGTGGTGCCGCTTCCAGCTGCACTGGAAGAGTTGGCGCCCGTGGCCGCCGAGGTCTCCTCCCCGACACCAGCCTCCACACTCTCCTCCGCGTCCGAGAAGACGGGCTTCTCCGCTGGCCCAGCGTCCGGATCAGTGCCGGTCTCGGCCTCGCCCTCGGCATCGGCATCGGGCTCAGCTTCGGTTTCGAACTCGCTGGGATTGTAGGGGTATTCCTGCTGGTTCTCCAGCAACAGATCCCCCACATCCGTGTCGGCAATGTACTGGAAAGGACCACAACCATGAGTATATGATGAAGGATGATCTCATCCCAGGACTCACCCCATTTTGGCGCAACAGCAGGATCAGCAGGTGCCACATGAGGGCGTGGGAGGCCCGGTACTTGTCCACACTGCCCTGGGGCTTCTTCTGGGTGGCATAGAGCACCGTGCAGCCGCGAGTGGGTCCCAATCGGATCTGGTCCTTGCAGAAGCTGATGATCTTGTCCTTGTGCAGCTTGCGGCCCTGCAACGGGCCCGGATACATGCGCAGCAGGCTGCTGGTGCCGTCACGGATGCGCGGCGGTGCCACTTCCACGTCGTTCCGAAGGCGGCCGCGACCCGCGAACTTGGGCTTCACCTTCAGCAGCAGGCTCATGGAGTAGGAGGCCACCAAGTGGGGCCGGCTGAAGAGCAGTGGCGTGCGTCGACGTGGCGGACGGGCCACGGCCGTAGTGACCACCCCGGAGACACTGGTTCCACCATAGGTCGATGGTGCCACTTCCGTAGCAGCTCTAGGAGATGGAAAAGTGACTCTAAAAGTTAATATTTTTAAGGATTTTAAGAAATTATTTAAGGATATTTAAAAAATCCGTCATGCAAGAAGGGAGGAGGAGGATAATCGAGGACATTGCAGGATATCTTGGGCAACCAAAAGCACCCACCATCGCAGCTTCATGCAACTTTCAAGAAAAAACTCAGTTTTTAACGAAAATTATTAACAATTTTTGGAAAATCAATAAAATTATTAACCATTTATGGATAAAAAATGAAATTAAATGATTTATTTTTAAAAAATTACTAAAATCTGGGTTATATTTTGGAAAAACTGCTTTCAAAGCGGGGTTTTTAAAAATATTTTTAGAATTAAAATGAAAATATTTAAGCACTAAGCCTTTTGAAGAATTTTTGTAGATTTTAGACCATTATCTTAGACACGTAAGACCTATTATCCATTATCTAGGAATATTTCGATAAAAAAAAAATCAGATCTCGAGTATATAGATCTTTAAACCTTTTTAAAAGTATTATTTTATAAAAGAACCAAAGATATGATATGATATTTCAAATAAAAATAAAAATAAGATCTCTAATTTTAATATTTTAATAAGAATCTTTATAAAAATCGTATCCCTAATAGATCTTCAAAGGCGTTATTTTAGATAAGAACCCCAAGATCATAGATCATATACTCTTCTCTGAAAGATTTCTAACAAAAATCAGAAAATCGTATCCCTAATAGATATTTATACCTTTTAAAAGTATTATTTTATATTAGAACCAAAGACATTACGATATTCTCTGATCCATTGATAAGAATCTATATAAAAATCGTATTCCTAATAGATCTTTAAACCTTAAAAACCCTTTTTCTTAGAATAGAACCTTGTATCTAGTACTCTAATCTGAAATATATCGTTCAAATACTAGAAACCCTGATCCATAATGGATTTTCTAACCTTTATAAAGCCTTATTTTATATAAGAACTCAAGATCTGAGTCTCTGATCCAAAATATATCATTCCAAATCAGAGAATCTGATTCATATGTGAAAAATTTCTATAAAAAATCTAAAAAGAATCAGATTCCTATAAGATTTCTATAAGACACTTCTATAATATAATATAATATAATATAATATAATAGATCTATAATAATATATAGATCTCCTCTCCTCCTCTCCAATATTTCTAACAAAAATCCGATTATCTCAGGACCTTATAGTATATATATATGTATGTATAACCATTTAAAACCCTAAAAGATACCCCGATCTAGGCCTAAACCCATATAGAACCTTTTAAAGCCAAAGAACAGACAGAAAACAGGGATCGAGATCAGCCGAGACAACGAAAGAGCGCCACAAGGAGGAGGGGGATGATAAAGAGTGGATGGAAAAGTGAAATTTATGAAAGCTTCTTGTTTTTTTTTGGGTTTTTTTGCATAAAAAGCATAGAAGTGATGACAGAAAAGCGACAGAATGTATTTTCTTGGAATTTGGAGTTGAATTTTTCATTTTTTTTTTAAGGAGGGATTTGATTGGTATTTTTTTTTTTTTTATCGTATATCGAATCGTATATCGTATATGACAACCTGATATCGAGGCCGCACTCAGAACCGGCATAACGGGAAGAGCAGCGTCCATCGCCGCCATTTAAATTATTCAGCGATCCGGCATGGGATAGATTGGCATATGGATTTGGATGGAATGCTATGGATCCATAATAACTGGCATTATCCTCCGTATAACTGCTGTTAAGGATATCCTGTTGTAGGTGTAGTTGTAGTTGCTGTTGTTGTTGTTGTTGGTGTTGTTGTTGTTGCTGTAGGTGGTGGTATCGGCTACCATGTTGTCGATGGAGTTCATTGGCTTGATTTATGTATGCATGTGTATACCTAAAATATTTCCATATTTTTGTTTTTTTGGTTTGGGAATGTTTTTGGAAGGACAATTGCACATGTTTTGCATATTTTGTGATTTATTTGTTTATTTTGTGCATTTTTTTTGAGGTTAGAGACGAAAATATTTTGAGGTTAGAGACGAATTTCAATTAGTTTGTGCTTTTTTTTCAGTTTTTGGTACATAGTTAGTGAAAACGTACACAAGACAAGGATTGGATCCAATTGGAAAATGGTACAATTAACAGGGCTATACTACAGTTATCGAAAACATATCGATTATTTGGCGATTAATCGACACATCCCTAGGAGGCGTAGGATATCGGCAATTAATGGGAGAATGAACGAGCAGGAGGGAGATAATGGGTTGTCTCTGACACACACACACACACACACACACATATCTAATCACTAACTACTAATTAGCATAGCAGCTTATAGATAAGATTAAAGCCCTAAAGTCCAACCTCAACAATTATAAAAAACAGGGGTTTATAGGGCCACACACTTTGTTAATTAAGAACTCTTGTTAATCTTTAAATATTTTTTTAAAGCTAATTTAGCGGAAAGTTAAATGAAAAGATTAAGAAAACAACTTGCTACTTCTAGAAGGTTTCCAACAGAATTAAGGATTAAAAGAAAAAGAAAAAAAGGAAATACAGCGTTTCGATAAAACCGAACTTGTGGAAACATGTTGAAACGGGCAATCGATTATTTTATCGTTACTTTTTCCCATCACTAGAATTAAAGAGAGATGGGCTTTATTACAGACTATTACTTTTCCCATCACTAGAATTAGATAGAGATGGGGCTTTATTACAGAAGCCATTAAGCTATCGAGGCATAGAACGATAAAACCATTAACTTTATGATATTTTTTATAACTTTATATTAAAGTTTATGGATTTTTTAAATATATAGCAATAAACCCCGATTTTTCAACATGTTTTTATAGCTTATTTTTTTTAGCAAAAGACTCTCCTACTTTTTTGAAAAACTCACCTCTCGCGTTCTCTCTGCAGAGCTGCTTCACTACCACCACTGGTGGCCGCCACCAACTGGGCTGTGGGGGCACTGGGCACTATGCCGGGCAGTCCAGGCACTATCCCGCCACCGGCACCGGCCTTGGACGCCACCTGGGCACTCACTGCCGCCGACATCGAGGTGATCATTTGGCCATAGATCTTGGCGTACATGTCGGCATAGGCCTGGGGATTGCGGGACATTTGTTCGTACATAGCATACGGATCATAGCCACCGGCAGCATACTGGTCGTAGTTGCGGTTGCGTTTCCCGGAACCAGAGCCACCGACCGAACCACCAACGGAATTGGCATTGCCGCCATTGATGCGCTCCTTGTCCAGATCGCTGTTGCGCGAGCTCTTCCGGCGGTACTCCTCGTAGCCGTCCCAGTGCCTCAGATCCGGATGACGACGTCGCTGATCCTCCTGACGATTGCCAGCTGCCGAAGAAAGGAGATCTTAGAAAGGATTCAGTTGGGAAAGCTATAGACCTACCTCTGCCTTGGTTCTCGTAGCTGCGACGGCTGCCGGAGGAGCGATATTTCTCGCCGGATGACTTGTTGGGTCGCCGGCTGCCATAGTTCCTGTCCCGATCGCGATCACGTTCCCTCTCGTACTCATCGTAGTCCTGGCGACCGGTTTTGCTGCTCCGGCCACCGGCGCCGGAGGTGCCAGCACCACCGCTGCCCTCCAGCTCCCCGTCGATCTGGTTGATGTCGAGATTATCCGACTCGCCTTCGTAGCGTCGTGAGTGGTCGTAGGATCGGTCGTGATCCTCGCCACCACTATGGTACTTGTGCGAACGGCGTCGCCAGGTGCGATCCCGTTCCCGATCCCTCTCCCGATCGCCGCCACGCTCCCGGCCGCCGTCCCTGTCCCGCTCGCGCTCCCGATCCCGATCCCTGTCCCGTTCCCAGTCATGATCCGGGTCCTGGTGCTGGCGCCGTTGGCGAGTCGATTCGTGATTGCGTCGCGGATGAGAGTCCCGCAGGGTCTTCGAATCGCTGTGGTGCGACGTGCCGCCCCGGACCGAGTCCTCCGTTTCGCCATCATAGGTATTGTAGTGACCGTGGCTGCGTCCACGTCCGGCGCGTCGGTCATCCCGGGCATCGCCCAGATCCCGGCGATCGCGGTCGCGCTCCCGCTCCCGTTCTCGCTCACGATCCCGTTCCCGTTCGCTCTGCAGGAACTCGTCCGACTCGTCCTCGGACTCCAGGTCCAGCGACGTGTTGCCCCGCCGCGCCACCGAGCGCTTCTTCTCCAGCGGCAGCTGCTTGTTCTGCTGGATGAGCATCTGGACATCCGAGTTGGACAGCAGCGGCGAGTGCTCCACCGGCGGCATCTCGTCCGAGGGCAGGATGTGATGTGCCGAGGACGGGAGCTCGGCCTGCGCCACTGGCGGCAGGATATCGTCGCGATCCTCCAGATTCTCGCCGTCCAGCACCACTTCGCGTTGCTCCCGCACCGGCAGGACGACCGGAATGGCGGAGATCTCCACGCCCGTTACGACCCGCCTGGCCGGAATCTGTTCCCCCTCCGAGGTGTCCTCGCCGTCGGCCAGTCGCTCCTCCATGTGTAGGGCCGCCTGGGCCTGGGCGGGCTGTTCGGTGGCGCCAGTTACCAGGCGCTGTTGCTGCGATTCCAGCTCCGGCTGGCCGAGCACCAAGCGTGATAGTCCTGGCGGCGGCAGCAGGCCGGCGTCTTGGTCCGCTTCCAGATCCAGTTGCTCGGACAGGTGGCTGGTCTGCAGGTACTGGGCACGCTCATCGTTGGGCGCCGATAGCACCTCCTGGTTATCCGGCTGCTCCACAACGTTGGATGCGGGCGGTGGCGGTGCATAGAAGGATGTGCTGGCAGCTGGAGCCGGGAGTGATGCAGGGAGTGGAGCTGGCATAGTGAAAGTCAGTATGTCCGGTTGGGGTGAAGCCACCAAGGGAGCTGCCACGGGAGGCAATACAGCTGGTGGAGCTACTGATGCTAGAGGTGCTACTGTGGCTACTGCTCCTGCTCCTAGAGGTGCTACTGCTGCTGGTGGTGCTCCTCCTGCTGGTGGTGCTCCTGCTGGACTGGCCAGAATGTTCACCCGTTTGCTGAGCCCCGTAGAACGCTTGAAGGGATTCCCAGCAGCTGTCAGGCTGGGAGGCAGGGCACCAGGTGGCGCTACAAGAGCCGGAGCTGGTGGAGTGGCTGCTGGTGGTGGTGGTGGAGCTCCCACAGCCGGCGGTAGGCCCACAGAAGCTAGTGATGTGGGTGGTGGAGGAGCTAGTTCCGCCACTCCGCCTGCTGGCTGGTTTTGAAAAGCCATGGGCGGCACAATGGCATCGAGTTCCGGTTCCTGGCCCAGTTCTGGCGGCGAGTGCAGTTGCTGGTGGAGCAACTGCGTCGGTTGCTGCTGGTGCAGGTTATTATTTGGCTGTTCAGCGGGTGGTGGCAGCTCCACATTGTTGTTATTGTTGTTGTTGCTGCTGCTGGGAAAGACCTGCCAGTTGCCTGGCGAGGATTGCACATTGAAAGCATCCTCCAGTAGCTGATCCCCGCCCGTGGGCTCACTGGTGGTGCTCCCAGCGGTGTTGTTATTGATGCTATTATCGTTCCAGTCTCCCCAATCGCCCCAGCCATCGTTCCGGGACCGGTTATTGTTCTCCACAGGATCCATGATGTACTGAGGGGTTTCGAGAGGATAGGACAGGTCCTGTTGCAGTGGCTGCTGCTGCTGCCCGGCATAGTAGTTGTTGTAGTTCAGGGATTGCTGCTGCAACTGCTGGTGCTGCTGCTGAGGATCCTGCTGGGGATTCTCTGGCCAATAATTGGGCTGCTGTTGTTGTTGTGGTTGTTGAAACATTTGGCTGGCATAGACCGGCTGCTGTTGATGATGCTGCTGCTGCTGGGTGGGTGGCAGATGTGAAGGATGCTGCTGCTGTTGCGGGGGAGGAGGATGTTGCTGCTGCTGCTGCTGCGGAGGCTGCTGATGCGGTGGCAGCCAGGGAGCATTATTGTGCAACATTTTAGAGCTAAAATAATAAAATAATTAAATAATTTAATATAAAATATTCTTTAAAAATGTAACATTAATAAAAATTAATGAAAAGCCTGCTCTTTATAGTAAAGTACCTTTTCCTATTTATGTTTCAGTGTTCTGGTTATGAAAATATTCAAGTTTTCCGACTTGGAAAAGTCACTTTTATGGAAAAATATTGAAAATCTCTTCAAGAAATTGTATTTTTCTGATGGTGATGGCTGGAAAATTGGTTCAATGAACGAAACCAGTTTCTTTGAGAAAAGCTACCCGTTTTTCCAGAGTTTTTCCTTCAAACTACACTCGCAAAAAAATAATTAATTTTATAATAAATAAATATATACACCACTAGTGCACTAGTACTAGTAGTGGGCGAATAAAAAAAAAAAAAAAAACCGAAAAAGTTAAAAGTTTACGTGGACGTTTGCTATATAGCCCACCCCTCTCCCCCCAGCCCGTGGCGCTACTAGGGTACCCCCTCGATTCCATAAACATTCTCTTCACTGGCTGCTTCCTCTTCTTCACTTTGTTACCACTATTTAGCCATCTCTCTCTCTCTCTCGCTCTCTCTTACTGTTGTTTTTGTCTTGACGCAGCAGGTTTTTTGTTTTTTTTTTCTTTTCTTTCTTCTGGACTGATAATCTGACTGACAGACTATATATTATTTGTATAATTCCAGAATTGCAGACTTTTTATTTATTTTGTATTTTTGACCCGTAAGTCAAAAGTGAAAACACTCTCCGGGGAGGAGGAAAAAAAATTTGGAGCAGTGGTCGTGAAAAGAGAGAGAGGGGGATAGCCCAGGGAGAGTTGTCGCTCTCCCCCTCGCTAACCAGGGTTGCAATCCGGTGTCGCTCTTGCAAAATGGACCACAAAATAAATCACATTTGTTTAGCAGAAATAAAATAAACTTTGGCCCAGTTGTCTTTGTCAATTTGCATCTAAATACAAAACAAAATCCATTACGCCAACGGGAGAGCCTTAACGTACACACACACACACACACTCTAGCAATTCACACACATACAGGTGGATGGATATATGTCCCTTCCTTTTTTTTTCTAATTAGCTTACGCTGGACATTCGACTTACACAAAAATTAGCTTAGTTTCGTTTCGTTCGCTTATTTACACACACACTGTGTTCTATTCTGACAGACGACTAAACAATACATTTACTTGTTTGCTGATTGCCGTTAGCAGACGTCGTTTTTTTAAACAATTAACTTTGGAAAACGCAGCCAAAAATCCAAATGCCAACTCGACTTTAGTGCAGCGTTGCCAGACTGGCTAGCGGGAATCATTACTGCCAGATGTTTTAAGTTAGAGATGGGTAAATCTTAAAAAAAATATATATATTTTTTTAAAATAAAATAAAATAAACAGAAACTAATATATAGTTTAAAATTTTTACATTTCACCAAGGCTATAGAATTTGACTCGTGCTTTTAATGGTGATAAAAATACAAATGTTTGATAAAAATTCATCGTGTCGACTTTTACTTAATATATACTATCTATTTGTGGAAAATTAATTTAAGCTGTAACCTGTGTCTATTTGTTTTTAATATTTTTGTAAATGGTAATTAAAAAGCCAAAAATCCAAATTTCAAACACTATCGATTAAAAATGTATCGATAGTGAAAACACCTGTAGTGTATCGCCACCGAGCCATCACCAGCAGCAGAAACAGCAACAATTGTGGAGGAAACAGCAACAAAAATTAGCAACAACAACACCGCTCTGATGCCTTAGCGCTTGCGTATTTTGTTGATATTTGCAAGCCATCCGAGAGGAAAGAGGCCGAGAACGGAACCGATGCTGCGCCTACTCGTCTCCAACTGCTGCCGCAGTAGCAGCGGCGGCGATCTGCTCAGGTAATCCCATCGAAATCCCTGTTCAGACCCCTCCAAGGCAGAGGCGTGCCATCGTTTGGCGATTCTTCCCCACGGCCTTCTCCCTGCCCAGGTTATGTCATCAATCTGATATCTGTTTTGTACTTCCGCGTTGCCAATTTTAGCCGCCACCTGCTGCAGCCGACATCGCAGCCACTGCCACGCCTCCAGAATGCCGCCCGCCTGATTCGCCAACATTGGAGAGGCACGCACACCACGCCCCCGACGCCAATGCCGCCCTCGAATGCCACCCGCCTGCTACACACCACACGACTGCTGCTCTGGGGCGGCGGCAGTCTGGCCCTGGGCATGGGCGCTCGATCGTGGTGGGCGGGGCGAGGCTGTGTGGTGCACTGCGAGGGCAACCGCCTGGCACTGCGCGAGGTGCCAGAAATAGACGAGGACGCGAAGGCGGAGAAGTTCGACTGGCGGAAACTCTGGTCCTACCTGGAGCCACATCTTTGGGAGCTAATAGGCGCCGTATGCGTGAGTATTCCACAATTGTGGCCTGCCCAGTAATTGGATGTTTGTTTCTCCCGCCACAGGCCGCGTTAATAGTGGCATACATCAACATCCGCATCCCAAATCTGCTCGGTGTTCTGGTCAACACACTGGCGCACTATGCCAACACCTATGTAACGCCCAACTCCTTTGTGAAGGACGTAAGCAAGCCGGCCAGCAATCTGCTCAGCCTCTACATGCTCCAGTCGGGCTTCACCTTCATGTATATCTACCTCCTTAGTCGCGTGGGCGAGCAGATGGCGGCCCGGATGCGGCAAGACCTCTTCAAACAGATCGTTGTCCAGGACATAGCCTTCTTCGATGAGAATCGAACGGGTGAGCTGGTCAACCGACTGACAGCTGATGTCCAGGTAATGTCCCACTTAAGGCATCTGCTTCCTTTGGAGGAATTTAATTCTTGGACTTCCAATTTCAGGACTTTAAGGCCTCGTTCAAGCAGTTCGTGGCTCAGGGATTGCGGAGTACTGCTCAGCTAATTGGCGGCGGGATATCCCTCCTCATGATATCCCCCCACATGGCGGTCATTGCCCTGGTCAGTGTGCCGTGCGTGGTCATGGTCATGTCCTATATGGGTAAAAAACTGAGATCGCTGAGCAAAAACTCGCAGGCGCAGTCAGAACGAGCGACGGGCGTTTGCGAGGAGGCCTTGTCGAATATCCGGACGGTTCGGTCCAGTGCCTGCGAATACCGGGAGATGCAACTGTTCGAGACGGAAACGAATGAGGCCGCCCGTTTGGCGCAAGAGCTCGGCTACGGCATTGCCATCTTCCAGGGCCTGACCAATTTCTTCCTCAACACACTAGTCCTATCCACACTGTTCATGGGCGGCCATATGATTTCCACGGACAGCCTCACGCCGGGCGCTCTGATGGCCTTCCTGGTCGCCTCTCAGGGCGTGCAGCGATCCCTCGCCCAGGGCTCCATACTACTGGGCACGATGATCCGGGGCATGAGCGCCGGTTCCAGAGTCTTTGAATTCCTCTCCCTGCAGCCCCAGGTGGAGCTGCTGCGTGGCTATGTGATTCCTCAAGAGCGATTGCACGGCGAGATTCGCTTCGAAAACGTATCCTTCGCCTATCCCATGCGACCTGAACAGGTAGGATTGGTAGTTTCTCTTGAAAGAGTAACTCTAATGTCTATATATTTTTTGTACTCGTCCAGGTGGTCCTCAAGGACTTCAGCCTCGTTCTCCGTCCCGGTCAGACGGTGGCTCTGGTGGGCGCTAGTGGCTCTGGGAAATCAACCATCGCCGCCTTGGTGGAACGTTTCTATGAGCCCACATCGGGCAACATCAAGATCGACGGTTACAAGCTCTCCGACATTTCGCCGTACTGGCTGCGCGCCAATGTCCTGGGCTTCATCGAACAGCAGCCGGTCCTCTTTGGCACCTCGATCTTCGAGAACATTCGCTACGGCAAGCCGGACGCCGGCGTGGAGGATGTCTATGCCGCGTCGCGTCTCTCGCAGTCGCATGACTTTGTGACCGCCCTGCCGGACGGCTATGACACGCACGTGGGCGAACGGGGCACCCAGTTGAGTGGCGGACAGAGGCAGCGCATCGCCATTGCCCGGGCGCTGCTGAAGAATCCCCGTGTCCTCATTCTGGACGAGGCGACGAGCGCCCTGGATGCCACCAGCGAGGCGGAGGTACAGAAGGCACTGGACACGGTCGTACAGAATCGAACCACCCTAGTCATTGCTCACCGGTTGTCCACCATCCGGAATGCGGATCTAATTGTTGTCATGGATCAGGGACGTGTCGTGGAGGTGAGACTCTAGACTATTATCCTTTTTTTTGTGTAATCCTGTAAGCAATCCTTTCCAGACTGGAAAACATGACGAGCTGATGGCCAAACGAGGCCTCTACTTTGAGCTGGTGCGTCAGCAAGAGCGCCGAGACATTCAGGATCAGGTCCAGATAAAGGACAACATGGTGTCCAACACTGAGGCTGCAAATACACAAGCTAAGGATACGGCAACGTCGATGGGAGCCACAACGGCGACAACGACCTTCAAGGACATCCCACAAAGCAGGGCCAACACCGCCCACGGCTGACGACGACCGTTTTTTGGTTGAGGAGCGACTATAGGAAAATTTCCGATGATTCCCTGTACACTTACACTTAATTTATTAGAACGTTTTTGTTTTCCAATTATATTTTTTATTTTAAAAACACTGACCAAACAATGAAAGCTACAAAAACAGAAAAAAAAATACGAAAGAAATCTAAAACTGGTAAGAGATTCTAATATAAGTTAACAATCAAATAAACGCTGAATACAGTATTGTTTTTGTTATAAAAATCATTAATTTTCATTCAAAAATGGGAGTTTTTAAAATACTTTTAAGAAAAAAAATTATTCTTTAAAGCTATAAAGGGTTAAGGCTGCTTAGTACTGTTTTTATTAATAAATTTATATTATTTTATAATTATTATTTATTTTTTAAATCAAAACAAACGATTTGTTTACTTTTTTTAAATATTTGTTGTTGGTATTTGTTGCTGATCGATAGTTTGGTCACACTGCGGAACCAACAAAATGAAATGAACCGGTTCCGGAACGAACATTTCATTTTGGTTTTTGTTTTTTTTTTCGAAACAAATGCAGATTTGTTTTTTATTGTTTTGAAGTTGGTCCGTACGGAGCGTCCCGTGCTGCTGTCATTCAGAATCCGGCGGACAGTACGACCGTGACCGTGGAACGTATGGCGGCAATCCGAATTTTATAAAATCGAACGAAATAAATACAACGAAAATATCTAACGAATGTGTGCAATGTGCGTTAAGTCAACAGCCACAACACATACAAACAATTATGTAAGTGTGTTGGTGTGAGTGTGTCTCCAAAAAAAACAAAAAGCAACAAAAAAAGTTATTAACAATAGTTAAAAGCTGCTATTCGTGTTGTTGTTGTTGTTGTTATTACCTTTTGGCTAACATCGTTGTTGTTCCCGTTCCCCCACACACATTTTTTGTAGTGTGCTTGTGTGTGTGTGTGTGTTTGAACAGCACCTGTACGCGTGTCGGTGTGCGGCTACCTGTCTATGGGTGTATTGGTGTGTTGTGTTTCTGCCGCCGCACAATGGGCCCAATGAGCAAGTGTTTCTCACAAAAAAAAATGATAATTTAATTAATTGTGTTTAAACAATTGTTTTTAATCAACGGCCTTAATTAAAGAGACAACTGTTTTTTTTAGTTAATCGCCAGCAATTGTTTAAGTACAGTGGGATGATTAAGGTTGAAAGTGAATAAAATAAAAAAGAAAACTTATAAGCAGTCTTTATATTGATTTAAATCTAAAGCTTTTAAAATTTAATTTTTTTTTTAATATTTAAATTTTTATTATCATAATATTGCATATTATTTATCCCACTGTACTTGACCGTGTGTATAAAAGCGTGTGTCATTGCTTTTGAATTTCGTTGGCGGGAGGAGGGGGAGGGGTAAGGGGTAGCCCAGTTGCATTTGAAAATAAAAGATACTCCCAGGAGATGTTGCATCCACTCCCACTTCCACTTTCAGGGTCAATGTTGAGTTTGCATCCCACTGTGCCGCAACTCCATGATTATTTATTTTTAATATTTATTTTTATAAAAAAAAAATTGATTAAGCAACGACAATAGCTATAGGCTGACTCAGGATCGGATCGGGGTATTATTGCAGTTAGTTATTAATATTTCGCTAACTCAGACATTCCGACTCGACTTTTTCCACTAACGGAACAACAACAACAACAATCCGAGGTAGTCACTAGCTTAAGCAACAACAACAACTATAAGAACAACAAACACATGTACAGTAGTCACTAGAGAGGAGAGACCATAACTTGGTTTGGAGTGAAGAGAGGCTACGACTTGGGAAGAAGTGGAACTAATAAAAAATAAATATTAAAAAAATAAATATTAAAATATAAATAATATAAATTATAGATTTTAAGAAAACAAATAATAAATTCTGGACTTACCCCGTCTTTTCCGGGCGCTGGAGGAGGATCGTGGGCAGGGCATGAAGGTTCCCCATCGGGAGGAGCGGGTAAACCCTCATTGGTATAGCTAAAGGGTCGGTGGATTTCCATCTGATGGGATGACGTGGCTATAGGATGCACTACCTCCAGATCAGGGCCAAGGTTGGGGTGTGTCAGTGGCTCCAGAAACTCTCTCCTCCAGGTCTGGTTCCTCCACGAAGCTTGGTTCCTTTTTCTTCAGGTCCAGTGCATCCTTCTGGAGAGGATGGGGCAGCTCCTCCTAGCCCTGTGGCACCTCCAGGGAAGCCTCCTCTAGGCCCCTGGGCCGCCGGCTTTTAAAAGCCGGCAAAGTCGAATTATTTTTTGGGCGCTTTTTAGTGCTGCTTAGGTGCCACCTATGAGAATCGAGGAGGAGGGCGCTGTTTTTAAAAAATAATTATTTTTATTTTTTTTTATTTTTAATAATTATATTTCGCTTTAAAAAATTAAAAAATATATTAAATTAAAGTTAAAATTAGGAAGAATTTTTTAAAAAAGAAACAAAGTTTTAAATATTAGCCACTGAGTTTTAGTTTTGAAATTAAAAATAAATATTTAAATTTTAAATTTGAGGTTTTTAAAATTAGAATTAAAGGGTGTTAAGGTTTTGTTTAAATAATAAAAAGTCTAAGGAATCTTAAATATATATATTTAATTTAATAGTTAAATTATAAAAGGTTAAAAAATATAAAAAAAGGATGTTTTTTTTTTAAATATTTTTATAAATGGCTTAAAATCTATAATATAATAGTTTAAAATATTAAATCTACTTTTAAATATTCTTCTTAAATATATATATTTTAAATAAATTTAATTATTATTATTATTAATTTTTTTAATATTTAAATTTTAATTATAAAATATATTTATACCCTTGCAGAGGGTATTATAATTTTGTCCAAAAGTGTGCAACGCAGTGAAGGAGACATCTCCGACCCTATAAAGTATATATATTCTTGATCAGGATCACCTCCTGAGTTGATATGAGCATGTCCGTCTGTCCGTCTGTCCGTCTGTCTGTCCGTCCGTCTGTCTGTTTCTACGCGAACTAGTCTCTCAGTTTTAAAGCTATCGACTTGAAACTTTGCACACACCCTTCTTTCCTTTGCACGCAGTATATAAGTCGGAACGGCCCGGATCGGCCGACTATATCCTATAGCTGCCATATAACTGATAGATCGGAAATGGTATAACTTTGGTGTTTTTAGAGTTAGAGGGCTAAAAATTGACATGAGAGCTATTTTTGGCAAAATAATATGACATGCCAAATTTCATATGGATCGGCCGACTATATCTTATAGCTGCCATATAACTGAACGATCGGAAATGACCCAACTTTCGTGTTTTTGAAGATAGAAAGCTGGAACTTGGTACAGATTATATATTTGGTCAGTTGATCCGACCCACCAAATTTCATTAGGATCGGCCGACTATATCCTATAGCTGCCATATAACTGAACGATCGGAAATGGTATTTGGTAGAAATATCAACTTTTGTATTTTTGAAGATAGAAGCTTGGGACTTTTTTTCGATTTTTTATTGTAATTGATTGGTTTTATTATGATGTAATCATAAGGATTGGCCAACTATATCCGATGTTTGCAATATATATCCGGTTTTAGCTGCAAGGGTATATCAACTTCGGCTCCGCCCGAAGTTAGCTTTGCTTTCTTGTTTTTAATAATTTTTCATTAAAACTTGGCCTTACTTTAACCTATCTCACCGTTAGTTAGTGTGACTAACTAGGCCCCTAGTATATATACCTCGTAATTCTTCGAAATATTTCGTCACTATCTAATATAGCCACCCCCTCCCCCTACCCCCCTCTTTTTACAGTTATAACGTAATCAGGCCATAAAATCGACATTCCATGCATCAGCAGCAGCAGCGCCTAAGGACGAATGGCGCCTCCCGAGAACCACCAGGCGGAGGAGGAGCAGGCCGAGGAGGAGGAGGAGGTCCTGGCAGCTATTTTAGTGGACCATCGTGCGCCCACTGCCGCGGTCAGTTGCTGCCCCATCCCGAGGAGCCCATCGTCATGGCATTGGGTCAGCAGTGGCACTGCGACTGTTTCCGGTGCTCCGTGTGCGAGGGCCACCTCCACAACTGGTACTTTGAACGCGAGGGACTACTGTACTGTCGGGAGGACTACTACGGCCGGTTCGGTGATGCCTGCCAGCAGTGTACGGCCGTCATTACGGGTCCGGTGATGGTGGCCGGGGAGCACAAGTTCCATCCGGAGTGCTTCTGTTGTGCCGCGTGCGGCTCCTTCATTGGTGAGGGGGAGTCGTATGCGTTGGTGGAGCGATCGAAGCTCTACTGTGGCCAGTGCTATGGGAAGCGCAGCTGCCAGCCGGCGGATGCCAAGGCGAGGATAACGACGGCCGGCAAGCCGATGCACTCCATCCGCCTGGTGGAGATACCCAAGGATGCGACGCCGGGACTGCGGGTGGATGGTGTGGCGCTGGACGATGGCTGTCCCACAGTCAGGATAGCAGAGTGAGTGGGAATTATAATTAAGGAATTATTTTTTAACTTTAACTTTTTTTTTATTTTTTAAATTAAAAAATAAACTCTTTTTCTTTAAATATCTCACTAATTGGATGAATTCTTGCCTTAATTTCTATTTTTTCTTCCAAAAAAAAACATGCTTTCCTTAAAAATAAAATAAAAAAATAATTAAAAAACTAAAAAACTAATTTTAAAAATTAAAAATAATATTTAATAATTTAAAAAACTAAAAACTGGGATTAGTTTATTCTGTAACTTCTTTTTCTGGCTGACCTCCATGGCGGAGCAGTGCTGCGGGGCACCTTATAGGTAACCGAATCCACTCTCCAGGATCAAGGATCAAGGATTCAGGATTCAGGATTCTAATGTTCCAACTGATTCTAATGTTATCCTTTATTCACCCACCTCCCCCCCCCCCAGGATCGATGTTAACCTGACCAACCTGCACATTGGCGACCGCATCCTGGAGGTGAACGGCACTCCGGTGAGTGACTCCTCCGTGGAGCAGATCGACAAGCTGATCCGGAGCAACGAGAAGATGCTGCAGCTAACCGTGGAACATGATCCGGTGCAGGTGTGCCGCTCCTGCAGTCAGGCAGATATCCAGAGAGCCTGCTCCGCCTCCACACTGGTCCTGCCGCTGAGCACCTCGGCGTCCAGTGTGGAGGTGGGAGGGAGGGAGCGGCTGTACCGGGCGCAGGGGGAGCAGAGCGCCAAGGCCCGGAAGCTGCGGCAGGCCAGCAACGCCTCCAGCATCACGATACCGAATGCCACCACCCAGCTGAAGGAGAAGGAGCGCTGCTCCAGCCTGTCCAAGCTGCTGGATGAGCAGCACCAGGCGCAGCAGCACTCGGCCCATCCGCAGCTCTACGATCTGTCCAGGACGCAGTCCTGCCGGGTGGTCCAGAAGCCGCAGCGCATCTTTCGCGCCTCCGATCTGGTGATTGGCGAGAAGCTGGGCGAAGGATTCTTCGGGAAGGTGTTCAAGGTGAGTACCAGGATAGGGATGCACTTGCTCCAAAACCAAACTAATGGGTGGGATCTTGCAGGTCACCCATCGACAGAGCGGCGAGGTGATGGTCCTCAAGGAGCTGCACCGCGCCGACGAGGAGGCCCAGCGGACGTTCATCAAGGAGGTGGCCGTCCTCCGGCTCCTCGACCATCGCCATGTCCTCAAGTTCATCGGAGTGCTGTACAAGGACAGGAAGCTGCACATGGTCACCGAGTATGTGGCGGGCGGGTGTCTCAAGGAGCTGATCCACGACTCGCGCCAGATCCTGTCGTGGCCGCAGCGGGTCTGCCTCGCCCGGGACATTGCCTGCGGGATGAGCTACCTCCACTCGATGAACATCATCCATCGCGACCTCAACTCGATGAACTGTCTGGTGCGCGAGGATCGTTCCGTTATCGTGGCCGATTTCGGTCTGGCACGGAGTGTGGATGCACCGCGGATTCCGGGAGCATCTGGCGCCAGCGGCCCCGGCACTCCTGGGGGCTATGGCTCGGCCACCAATAGCGATGCTGCCGTCTCTCCGGGCGGAACGCTGCGGAGGAGCAAGAGCCGACAGCGCCGGCAGCGATACACGGTGGTGGGGAATCCCTATTGGATGGCGCCCGAGATGATGAAGGGCCTCAAGTACGACGAGAAGGTGGACGTCTTCTCGTTCGGCATCATCCTCTGCGAGATCATTGGTCGCGTGGAGGCCGATCCGGACTTTATGCCCCGCAACTCGGACTTCAGTCTCAACCAGCAGGAGTTCCGGGAGAAGTTCTGCGCCCAGTGCCCGGAGGCGTTCGTCAAGGTGGCCTTCGTCTGCTGTGACCTCAATCCCGATATGCGGCCGTGCTTCGAGACGCTCCACACCTGGCTGCACGGACTCGCCGAGCACCTCACCGTGGAGCGCCAGAGGCCGCCCGAAACGCTGCTGCACGAGATCGAGAACTTCCAGGAGAGCTATGCCAGTTCCGAGGACGCCCTGTCGCCCACCTCCCAGCGCAGTCTCGATAACCTGGATGAGATCGTTAAGGATGCGGCGCCCGTCGAGGTGGAAGTGTCCCCCGTGGAGAAGGAGAAGGAGAATCTGGTGATCCGGCCGCAGGACATACCGAAGTCGCCGCATCTGGGCAAGGATTTCTCGCCGAGCGGCGAGCGCCTGAGGGATAGCATGCGGGCGCGGAGGCGTCAGAGGTTTCTGGGGGCCCAGGAGGCGCAGCGCCGGAATCTGACACCCGAAACCGAGTCCAAGGAGCGCGCCCTGAAACAGGCCCTGCGCAAGTGTCGTCCGTTTGGGGAGCGCGGCTACTTGGTGGACCTGCGACCCGGTGGTGATCTGCAGCTGCAGGATGTCCGCGACTTGAACACCTACTCCGATGTGGACTCCAGCTGCGACACCAGTCTCAACTACCACGAGGTCAATAACCCGCCCGCGGCGACAGACATTCCAGAGGCGGAGCCACAGCAGGAGGTGGAGGAGGAGCAGCCACCTCCTGCCGGCAAGGAGGAGCCGCAGCATCGCCAGCAAATCGAGGACATGCGCACCCGCCTGAACCAGTGCCGGAGCAAGTTCGAGCACCTGGAGGAGGCCAGTCGGCGGAACTTCAGCCAATCGCAGCACTCGATGAGGAACTTCTTCAAGACGCCGCCCGTGGCGCTGAAGATGTTCCAGCGGCTGGAGCACGAGGCGGCCGCCGCTATGAATGGTTGCCAGACGACAGCGCCGCCACCGCTGCCGCCGCGGACGCAGCGCATCAACCAGACACCGATCTTTGGCCGCAAGAATCCCCCCATCCCGGTGGCGGCGGACCAACAGAAGCTGCAGCACTCCGAGTCGCTGGAGAACCTGGTCGGTGGACGAAAGTCGATGCCGGCCATTCCAGCGCCCAAAAGGAGCAAGGGACCCCCCGTTACCCAACCGCCCACCATCATCCTGGCCAACAGTAGCTCCTCGAATGGCACAACGGCGGCCACCACAGTGGACTTTCCGCCCAAGAAGCACAAGCTCACCCTGCCACTGCCGCCACAATCCCAGCTGGCACGTTCTGGCCACTCAAAGCCACCCAGCAGCGCCAAGGTGAAGCCCCTGAAGGTCCAGCCGCCGCCATCCTCCAGCCGCATCGTGTCCACCACTAGCATCTCGCCCACCCGTAACAGCCGTCCCAGCTCCCCCACCAAGCATCTCGCCCAGCGTCACACCGCCGCCACGGCCCAACGACTGAATAATGGTGAGTATTTGGAGTGTTTCTTGAGAGGATTTCCATTACAAATATATCCTCCTTAGTGGCCGCCACCGCTGCCCATCATCAGCAGCAGCCATCATCGCGGACTACCCGCCTTAATATCCTCAGTCCGGAGAAGGTGCATCGCCTGGGAGCTCGACTCACCGACCAGAAGCAAAAGCTGCGCGAAGAGGCGGCCGCCGGCAGTGGCAGTGCTCCCGGTGTGGGAGGATCTGCCGCCAATGGTCACCGCACGGTGGCCACAGGGGGAGCAAGTGCAGCCGCCGGCGATCGGAGGCGACGGGCAGCTCCAACGCCACCGGCACGAACGCATTTCAATACCCGCTGCTAGCTGTTATCCCTAGCTGGGAAGGATCGACTCAGGAATCCACTGTACTGTGCGTAGCCTAAAAAAAGTAACGGTAGTTGGCTGGAACGTGTCGAGACATGTTTTGTTTTCAATGCAAAGTTATTCCAAGGCCACTGTTATAAAAAGCAACTGTTATACGCACATTCCCCCAACAACAACAACAACAACAAAAAGAAACACATTCCAATCAGAAAACGAATATTACGAAACCGAAACCTGGATCTTGGAGATATATCCTTATAGATTCCCGAAAAATGATATTCCAAAGGCAGCAAGCGACGATGGATTTTCAAAAAATCCTCGAAAACAAAAGACAACATCTAACATATAACAGTTTGTGCTAAAAACTGTTATAATATCTCTTAAATTTTTTATTATTAAAATTACATGTTTTTTTTTTTTTATTATTTCTAGGCTTATGTAACGAAAGGTTAAGTGCCTGACTAGATAAAACAACTAAAAAAAAAATAATTAAAAAAAATCAAGTTGCAATATTTACAAAAAACGAAATAATTATATAGTATTTAAGATTACAGGGTAACAACTGTTCCGACTAACCTTAACGAACTCAACTAAAAAAAAAAAAATGCTAAGCAATTACTTTTTAACTATATAACCCGACTTATAATGATATAGTTACTGTCTGACAAGCAAAACAATATAGATATTGATGAGAAAATTGTGCCATGAAGCTGCGAAAAAAAAAGAAAGAAACGAGAATCTGACAATTGAGAATTGAAGGAGCAAGGGATTAATGTAGATGGAACCCACCCACAACTAAGAAAAAAAAAACTTAAAAAAAAAAGACAAAAAGATGTGTACTTTATTAGAAAAATTGCAGTTTGAATATTTTTTGATATACACCATATATATATATATATATATACTATTATAGATATATACATAAATACCTATATATATTCCATAATTATATAGATAATGATATTCCATGTTAGTGCTTAAATCTAATTTATTATTTATCGACATTTTCCGAAACCTTGAACAATAATTAACAAAGCTACTTTTTTTTGTAAAGTCTAACTTGAAAATTAAAGTTCGAGCAGAGCCGAACTTGATATACCCTTGCAGTGGAGTGACAGACTATAGGAAACGATATATATCGGTCGATCCTTAAGAGAACTTTGCTAAAAAATCCATTTCTTGTCATACAATTTTTTAAAATATGTTCCTAGCTTCTATCTTTTAAAACTCTACTTTTGGCTCATTTCCGATCTTTCCGAAAAAAGTTTCGAGCCTCTTTATCTTAAAACTATACTTTTGGATGATTTCCGATCTTTCAATTATAAAGCAGTAATAGGATATTGTCATACGATCCTAATGAAATTTTGTAGAGCATATTATTTCGTTAAAAATATAGACTATAGAAAGTCCCAACCTTCTATCTTCAAAAACACCAAAGTTATGGCATTTTCGAGCCATCAGCTATATTAAAGCTTAGAGGTATAATCGAACGATCCTAATGAAATTTTGTAGAGCATATTATTTCGTCAAAAATATAGACTATAGAAAGTCCCAACCTTCTATCTTCAAAAACATCAAAGTTATAGCATTTTCGATCCTTCAGCTATATTAAAGCTTAGAGATATAATCGAACGATACTAATGAAATTTTGTAGAACAGATTATTTCGTAAAAAAATTAGATCATAGAAAGTCCCAACCTTCTATCTTCACAAACACCAAAGTTATGGCATTTTCGATCCTTTATCTATAAGATATAGTCCTCAAATCCCACTGCAAGGGTCTTAAAAAAAAAATTAAAAAAATCTATATGAAAGTTTTTGCTCAAAAAGCAATATTTTAAGTCACACCAACACACACACACACACGCGCAATGCTAACTGTTATACAAGACACGCACACGCTCAAGCCTAATACTGTTATACCGTAAACCATATACCTTAAAGAAAACCCTAATCTTAAGTCTGTGTGAATCAAAATGCTTTCGAATTAAATAATTGCTTGACTATGACACTCGAGAGATGCCATTCTAACCCTAAAACAGTGGATCTGCTCAATATTTTACTAAAAAAAAATATACAAAAAAAAAACAAAGTGTATCTAGCATTTAAACACAAAATATGTGCGATATTTTTATACATATGCCGATGATGATAATTATGAGCTACGTTTATACGCCGGCCTTCTTGTTTTCGAACTTTTCTTAAAAAACATTACTAATTAACTGTTTGTTTTTATACAATTTTTATAAAATATAGCTGCTTGTGGTAATAATATCTCTTATTTGTACATAAGACTACTAATCTCCTGTTTGTATTCGTAATTCCAGAATTTTTTGTTCAAAACCCCAAGCCTGTGTATAAACATAGTCCTTAAATTGCAAACCTTGAATATTTTTTTGTTAATAAATAAAATGTGAAAAAATAAACAAAATTAAGACTTTTAAAGTTACTTTAAAACTATCAAGGATCGAATAAGAATTGGCAGAGATATAGTCATCGGAAGGAGCCTGGTACGAAAAACACGATTCTGGCAGGGGTATCCCCAGGAAAATTTTGAAAAAAATTGAAAAAATATTTTGTGTCAGGATTTTGATGCAGAATGACGGGGAATCGACCCACAAATGTTTTAAGGTATTCCCCACAAGGATCGGATAAGAATTGGCAGAGATATAGACATCGGAAGGAGCCATGTACGAAAAACACGATTCTGACAGGGGTATCCACAGGAAAATTTTGAAAAAAATTGAAAAAATATTTTGTGTCAGGATTTTGATGCAGAATGACGGGGAATCGGCCCACAAATGTTTTAAGGTAACCCCCTTAAGAATCGGATAAGAATTGGGAAAGATATAGACATCGGAAGGAGCCATGTACGAAAAACACGATTCTGACAGGGGTATCCACAGGAAAATTTTGAAAAAAATTGAAAAAATATTTTGTGTCAGGATTTTGATGCAGAATGACGGGGAATCGGCCCACAAATGTTTTAAGGTAACCCTCTTAAGAATCGGATAAGAATTGGCAAAGATATAGACATCGGAAGGAGCCATGTACGAAAAACACGATTCTGACAGGGGTATCCACAGGAAAATTTTGAAAAAAATTGAAAAAATATTTTGTGTCAGGATTTTGATGCAGAATGACGGGGAATCGACCCACAAATGTTTTAAGGTATTCCCCTTAAGGATCGGATAAGAATTGGCAAAGATATAGACATCGGAAGGAGCCATGTACGAAAAACACGATTCTGACAGGGGTATCCACAGGAAAATTTTGAAAAAAATTGAAAAAATATTTTGTGTCAGGATTTTGATGCAGAATGACGGGGAATCGGCCCACAAATGTTTTAAGGTATTCCCCACAAGGATCGGATAAGAATTGGCAAAGATATAGACATCGGAAGGAGCCATGTACGAAAAACACGATTCTGACAGGGGTATCCACAGGAAAATTTTGAAAAAAATTGAAAAAATATTTTGGGTCAGGATTTTGATGCAGAATGACGGGGAATCGGCCTACAAATGTTTTAAGGTATTCCCCACAAGGATCGGGTATAAATTGGGAAAGATATAGTCATCGGAAGGAGCCTATGGGAGAGTCCTGGAGGTTATATATTCTCTGTGAAGCTTTCAAGGTACATTGATGGGGAAGTAATCCAACACCCGTCAAGATATATCGTTAACGAGATATAGATTGGTTAAGGGATATAGTCTATAACAGGATATAGCAGTTGAATATCCTTAAAATCCTTGAGGATTGAAAACAAGTCAAGCGGAAGGATCCGATTGATAAACAGAAAACAATAAATTAGCTTGGAAAATAAAAGCTTTTTCCGTAATTGAAGGATATATCCTGGCGGGTACAGTTGCCCCAATCGGTGGCGAAAACATATGGTCGTGAGTGTGGGGGCGGGGACGGGGACGGGGAGAGAAAACCAGGGATTCCCAGGTCAGCCTCGAGACCCCGTTACGAGGTCGTTGCTTGCTCGTGTGTATCTGTTGGCTCCTTTTTCCGCATTGCCTTTTTCCAGGAAGCTTTTCTGCAGGATACACACACGCACACACCCAAAACAAACACACACACACACACAGAGAGAGACATAGAGATATCGTGGAATTTGCCCCAGACCATGGTCGGAAATCGATGCAGGCCAACAGCCCAGGACAATGCGTACGAAAATCAATGCAGTTCGTGATCCTGCGCAGTGGAAAAACGCTTTTCCCCTTTTCCGTCCTGCGGACGCTATGGGCTATAGGCGGCGTTGCCGCGCTTCAGCTTTTAATTTCATTAACAGTAACAGAGCTCTGTTAAATCAGCTGTTTGGCCAACACGAAAGAGAGCGAGAACGAGAGGGCTTATATGGTGAGATGCAACGCGGTGGCACGAGCGAGATATTGCGACATATTCAAGGTCTACCTTCGTGTATCGATACCGAAAGCGTTCTGACCCAACCCCCCGCCCCCCGACTGGATAATTGCATGTATACCAAATCGTAAATATATATATTTTTGTATATATATATGGTATGTATTTTTATACATACAGACATGAACGCGGTATGTATCTGGCAGGACGCATGAACTTACATGCTACATGTATACTTACTGTCGAAAACTTTGGCCGCCCACTCAAAAACGCGCCCCTTTTTGCATGAACGAGGGTTGGACCCAGGGCGAGGGGGCTTTGACCGAGGGGGCGGGGCAGTGGCGGCGTCGTCACTAGTGGGCGCTGATGGTCTTAATTTTTGTTGTTGGCTATGACGTGCTGGCACGTACGCGCCCAGAGGCGCCAAAAGGGGAGCCCAGCATGGGCGTTGTTTATAAAATATAATATTAATTTAGAAAAAAACATAATTTACAAATATTTTAGATACTAATTTTGTTAAACTTAAAAAAAACTTATGTCAAGTATAAAATTATTATTAATATTCTTAAAAAGAAACCTTAATTTTATTTGAATTGTGTTATTTTTGTAAAACAACAGTTAAAATTTAAAAATATTTAAATTTTAGACATTATATTCATCCGTTACATACATTAAGAAGCCTAGAAACTAGCTATACTAACTTAAAACTATTGAAAAAATGTATTTATAAAAAATATAAGTTATTTAAAACATTATTACTATTTTAATTAATTTAAAAAGCTAAAAAGTAACATAATTTTTTAAATTTCGTAATAACGTTTACAGAATGTAGTCAATATCGATAGTTGGCATCTGGCAGCACTGTCTCACCGCTATGGTGGGCCAACTATCGATATATCGATAAGAAGAAATATTTTCGATATCGGCATCACTGTGCCACCACTCAATACATACACCTATAAAACCAACGTCAGCGTCCACCACGGGCAGTTTAAATGCGCGGAAAGTTTTGCGAAGCGGACGGTTTTCGTGGCTGTTGTTTGTCGTTCTATCAGGATAGTGAACAGCACAGATATTGAAAGCGTGCCGAATGTTTTTTTAAAGGATACAAACTGTGTGTTGGATGTTCGCGTGTGAAGATTTCCTGCAAATAAATTAGAAGTAGCGTCGAACGCGTTTGCTTCTTATTTTATTTTTACACACATATATACATATATACATACATATATGTATATGTATATATTTTTTTTTTGTAGTGCAGCGCAGCCCGACACGGCATGTGCAAAGCAAGTGTGTGCGAGTGTGTGTGTACGCGCGTGTGTGTACAACGAAAATATTGATTGATCACTCAATCTTTGCCTCACCCCCCCTGTCAATTCGAATGTCTACGAGAATCTAAAAAATCAGTTAGCCCCAAGAAGTGGCCAGCATAAAAGAAAAAATATTTAAAAAAAAAAAAAAAACATCTACACCAACTACTACTACTAAACAAAAAAAGAAAAACGATACAGAGAGCGGAAGGAAGAGAGAGAGCAGCGCAAAAGAACAGTTAGCGTTTCGCGCTTTTCCGAGAGGACAGCGAACGAGCAGAGAGGAAGAGGAAGAGCGACGAGGACGAGGACTAAGGAGGCATTCATTCCACAGAGTCGCCGTTGAAGAAGAGGAAGAAGAGTGTGTGTGGTAGTAGCTGGCTTCGAAAGCGGGCTTTCCAGGACCACCCCCCCATCCAACAACAAATTTTCCAGGACCCCCGCTCCACAACAGAGACCATGTCGCTGCAAACGAAACGCCAGCACTGCTACCTGTGCGACCTGCCCCGCATGCCATGGGCGATGATCAGCGACTTTTCGGAGGCCGTGTGCCGCGGTTGCGTCAACTATGAGGGCGCCGATCGCATCGAGGCGGTGCTGGACGCCGCCCGTCAAATGAAGCGACTCCATCCCGCCAGCAAGCGTGCCCACGAAAACGGCGAGGTGGCCGTCGTCCTGCAACAGCAAGCGGCCCAACAACAGTTACAGCAGCAGCAGGTACCGCCTGGCTCACACAGAGGCGCACCGCCACCGGGCGGGGCACCGGGTCCATCCGGCACCGGACCATTATCACTGGGCGCTGTGGTGGCAGCCGCCTCGGCTGCTGCCCATCATCATCATCATCAACAGGCGGTGGCCGCTGGCGCCTATCAGATGCCCGTCCCCCGTATCGGACCACCGCTCGATTATCCCGTCAAGCTGGAGGATGCACCCGGCGGCGGTGTACGTCCCGTTCGCATTTCACACATGAATCCCCTCCATTTGCGCGGAGGCGGCGTGGCCGGTGGTGGCGGCGGCGTCTCAGGAGGCGGCGGAGCATCGGGAGCCGCCTCGGGTACCGCCCTGCCACCCGCTCTATCGGTTAACCTCAAACGTCCACCGTCCGACGACGTGGACGTGGATGTGGCCCAACAGAATGCCCATGGCATACCGCCGGACAATGCGGCGCCCCTCTCGGCCGGCGGCGGCGGTGGCGGCGGTCCGTCCGGCGTTAAGCGCAGCGCCATGGATGACCCCGCTGGTGGAGGAGTACGACCACCGCTAACACGCGGCGAATCCCTGCCAGCAGCCGTGAGCTATGTACCGGAACGCCAGCTGGGCGGATTAAGGGATAAGCAGCAGCCGGTTCGGGCGCCCAGCTTCGATGCCTCGACCTTCAAAGCAGGTGTGCATGTTACTCTATATAGTCCATAGATACCATAAGACAGTGGGTCCTGGCTAAGATGAACAAGTTCATTCATGATTATTATATATTTTTGTTAATTACAATGGAAGAAGTTTATTAAAAATTCTTCAAAAGTATTAGAGTTTGTAATTCCAGTAATTCCAGTATTCCAGTAACTCCAATCGATCGAGTTCAGTCAAGATTCTCGAAAAGTAGAGTGTAATTCCAGTATTCCAGTAACTCCAATCGATCAAGTTCAGTCAAGATTCTTCAAAAGTAGAGTTTGTGGAAAAGTAGATCCCTTTTCATATCGCTTTTCCAGTATTCCAGTAACTGTAGTTGATCCCAGTTCCAGTCCCTTCTCAATTATCGCAACTTCTCTCGAAAAGAGGCTTCGATTTGTTATTAAAGCCAATTAGAGGAATCGGAACAAAGGAATACCCAGGTTTATGGATTAAATGACAGTGTCAATTGGAACTATTCCACCTAATGGATCAAGTTTGGTTCTACCCTTCGGTTCTTACTGGGAAATACGCCTATAACCCGATAATCGGTAAAGACAGGAAATATTTTATCGGTGTTTGTTTATGCTTGATTTCCGTTTTAATGCCATTTGTTTGTTTAATTTTTAAGAAAAAAAAAAAGAAGGAACTTTATATTTTTTGTCAAGTTTCCAATCTGATGGCGTTCCACTGTATTTGTTTACCGTTTCGGGAGAAGACGACGGCTTGTCCCGAAAGTTGGGCTATGATCGAGTGCGAGAGAGAGTGAGGCTGAGCAGAGGCGGCGGGAGTGGGAGCGCGATACAGATAACTGGAACACACAGTACAGATCCAGGCCAGAATGAGGCAGCGTGATTGCGATTGCTGTTTCTTATCGCTCCTGCTGGTGTATGTGTGTGTGTGTGTGTGTGTGTGCTTGAACTGATAAGCGGGGTGGAGAGATTAGATAACGGGGCTTATCAGCAGGGCTGCTGCAGCAGCAGCTTGGAAGAGCAGCCCTCTTCCAGATGCGTGTATCTACAACACACACACACCTATACACAGGGGGCGAAAAGGAAAAAAAAAAAAAAGTAAAATTCAAAACGCATTTTGCAAGCAACCCTCCAAAACCAGAAAAGGAGCTGCTACTGCTACACGGCAGGCGGCAACCCTTGCCGTCAAAAGGCATGCGCACAGTCAAATATATAGGGAAAATATTAAAATATATATACAAATACAAATACATATATATATATATATATATATATATATAGTTAAATACGTGTAGGAACAGGCACGTACGTAATCGTAAAAGCAAAAACAAAAAGCGCAAAATAAAAAGGGCGGCCGCAGAATGTAATAAAAACAGAGACGTGCAAAAATCGACGCCGACGCTGATGCCAACGCTGACGCGATGCTCCACGACTGCCCCACGTAATGCTCCTCTCTCGCTCTTGCTCTCATTTGGGGCTCCAACATGATTCGTTTTGGTTTTTTGCTTCTTCTTCTTCATCTAGAAACCCGTTTCGGCCAGTGACCAGTGACGTAGACAATGGGGTTTGTGGAGGTTAAACACCTTTTAAATATTTTTGGTTCTTTATCTTGCACATGCGCACGTGTGTGTGTTGGTGCTTGTTGGTGATTTTGTTACCCCCTTTTGGATACCCAACTACGCCACTGTTTTTTGTTGTTTTTTTTTTTTTTTATGTGTCTTGGCTGCGCGCGCAAAACGTCATTAAACTTGTTTTGGTTTTCGCTGCTGGTGCTGCTGCTTCTTCTTCTTGGAGCGTTTTCTGCGCTGTTTTTACGCTATGCGATAACAAGTTGCACACACACACACACACACACACACAGATACGTACACCCTGAAAGATATAGATACAAATGTTAAAAGCAGAGTATAGATAAATTTTAGTTGGTATACGAATTACGGAACGAGCTGCATTGACATAAAAAAAAAAAACAAACTGAGATGAAACAGCAACAGTGGGGCCAATATCACTGTTAATTGGTAGAAAAAAAAAAAAAAACCATCCCCCCGTGTGCCAATTTCTGTTTCTGTTGTTTTGTATTTACGTTACGCTGTTGCCTCTGCTTCCTCTTCTCTTCTGTATATTCATTTCATTACCAAAAAAAAAAAAAAATTATTCCAACTTGAATATAGATACATATGTATCTGTATCTGTATCTGTATGCTGCGTGTATATATACTAAAAATATAACAAACATTTCTCGGTGTACAGAGAAAAAATTGTACAAATACAACGTGCGCGCGCGCTGCCTCCCCCTTTTCTCACACTCTCCCTCCCTCCCTCCCTCCTAGTTATTTTATTTTTTTTTTGTTTCGTTTCATTCAGCGCTTCGTGTTGCCGGCAAAAGTATATATGTATGTGTGTGTGTGTGTGTGTGAGAGAGCTCCATTCCAATGCGTTTGCCAGGAATTTTGTCGGTTTTTGGAGTGAGAAGAGTGCAACGTGTGTGTGCATGCATAGCTTCTTCTCCATCTCTACCTTTCTCATAATTAGAGATTGCGTGCAGCAGCAGTAGCATCCTTGTCTTGTCAGTGCAAGTGGGATGGCTAGATGCTAGTAAACCGTTAAACACGTGAAACTGCCCGTTTTGGGGACGGTGGGGCGGTGACGTTGCTACACTTGCGTGCAAAATATTAAAAATTATTAACCTTGTAGAATGAAGATAAAAAAAATTCATAGAACCTTATAAAAAAAAATTGTGAAATTATTAATTTTGTTAGGGTATTTGAAGCTTTCTTCTCATCCTGTCGACGTGAATGAGAATGAGGTTGGCGGTGGAGCTAGTTTTTGTTGGTTTACTTTTCGAGATAAGACGCCGAACTTATCGACAGAGATTGCGCCAGCGAACCATATCTTATCATATCTCAGGGACCCGACCATGTGGTTAAGTTGATAAGCTGGGCAACTGCTCGATAAGGCGGGCTCCCCTAAGCCCCCAAAAACATGCGTCGGAAAGTGGAAAGTCGGTAATATGTTTTCCGATATGATTATGTTATCGCCGCTGATCGATTACTGATGGATAGATGTCACTATAATCAGGCGTGGATTTGGAAATGGGGCTTTTTTTGGGATTTTCCATTGATATTTTGTGGTTTCTCCCCCCTGCCTACCAGAATACTGCATACCAGAGGCTGCTGGAAATTCTCCCTGTTGATAGGCAACCCAGAAATACATTCTTGAAAACCGGCGATAAGGTTTGAAATTCTATGCAACTGATCCGCTAACCTTCCAGATTAAAATACATTTATTTTTAATGGAGATTCTTAAAAATTGTGATTAAATTTTAATGGATTTTTGGTTGAAAGTCAAAGCTATTAGAATTAGTGTGAGATAAGCTCTTTTTTTGTCCGACAATAGGTGGGGGTGGTGGGGGAAGGTATATACTTGTACAGGGTACCCAAGTTGCCGCCTAATTTCGCCTCACAATTCCACTTTCGTTTGCTCTTGGCCGTACTCTATATACACACAGCTGTTTTGTTTATCTTATCGGAATGGTTAAGTGGCCGATGCCGTCTATCCGATGATGCCTCCTCATTCCAAAATACACAAGTATCTGTATCTTATCTGAACCATGGCCAGCTTTGACTGATAGCGTAGCAGTGTACCGGGTCGAAACCAAGTCGTCTCTCCACCCCTCAATGGCCATTTAAAAAGAGTGCATCCTGCAACCGCTCTTTGATCTCCGACCTCCGACCTCTCTGTTTTCTTTTGAAGATCTTTTTCGAATTAGATATTTCCTTGAAATGAACTTCCATCGACTATAATGACCCCTAATAGCTGTCTAGTTCTGTTTTAATATTTTAATCCAACAATTGCTATTGGGTATTAGTTTAAAAAACATAAATAGATAATTAATTATCTTTAAAATAGTTTAGTTAAAACCATCAAACCTTATCTACAGACCAATGAAGCTAGTTATTTTTAAATGGGGCTTTAGTGTCATGTGAGCTACTAAAGTGTCATTCTTTCCACTTTAATGGCCTTAATTCCAATAATTTTTTAAATCAACAATAAATAGAGAGGGCTCTCATATTTAAAAAAAAGAAAAAGAATATAACTCCAGGAAAAAGGGTGTGGTGTCGAAACACCCACCCACCCATTCATTCCCAGTATAGGTTTCTCGATTCTAGAACATTGTTTTGTTTAAATATTTATTTGTTTATATTTTGTTGCTTTTCGCACATTTCTACATAGTTTGTCAAATGATTCATTTTTGTAGAAAAAAATATTCCATAGGAGGGCAAAAAAAAAAGAAAGATCTTCGCAGCGGAACGGAAAACTAAAACTAAAAATTCTATAAATAGATTCTCATATTCTCGATACTGATAACTTCTCTCGATTCTCGCCAATTTGTTTGTTTTTGGGCTTGAAATGTATGAAAAATAAATAAACAATTGGGGGGGGGAATCGAGGATATATATACACAGGATTATATACAAAGTGCTGTCTTCCATTTCGGTGCATGAATAAAAAGTTGTTTCAAAAATAGAATGCAACGATGTTGTAGTAAAGTTTACAATATACAGTGCTTAGAAATCATCTATTTTAAAAAATCATATATTTTAAAAAAATAAATAGTTTTTTTTTTTAAATTAAATTAATTATAACAATAAATATCAAATATTATTTAGTTTTGAAAAAGCCCACTCCCACCCACTGTGCCAGGCACTTGTATGTAACTGCAGGCCAGCTATCTCGCTCTGACCCTTGCTATCTCCACTAGTTCTCAATGGGGCGAGCACATGCAACTGCATGTAGTGCAAGGGAAGATGAGTGAGCGAGCGAGCGAGCGGGTGAGTGAGTGAGTGTTGGAGCTAGTGGTGGGTGGAAGAAGAAGAAGCAAGGCAAGTCAAGGCGTGTTGGATTTTATTGTTGCTGTTTTTTTGTTTTTGTTTTTGTTCTCCACTCTGTGCATGCAAAATATAAACAAATGCTATAAATACACACGCATACACAAGCATACGTGTTGGGGCCACACAACACGTCTTCCGCTCTCTTCTCACCGCTCTCTCTCTCTGCGTTCTCCCTACCATTTCTTCTTCTTCTTCATCGTCGTCTTTTCGCCAATTTAGCCAGCGTAAGCAATTCAGTTGGGGGAAGGGGAGTAGGAGCGAGGAGCGAGTGGTAGAGGGAGCAAGCAACAGTTTATCAAATAAATAAACATAACAGCACACTCGCATGTGAGCCCCATTTCGTATGCAGTCCACTGTACGCCGCCGGCAAACTGACAATTTGAGCAATCTGCCACCACTGGTGGGGCATACAAATTAAAGCTTGTCTTGTATATTTTTTTTGCTCCTTTACTCTTTACCTTTTTCTCATTGTTTTTTTTTCTGTTTCAATATCAAGCGAGCAGTAGCTACGCGTGCGCGTGTACTGCATACAAAAAAATAATTAAATAGTCTCCAAAAACGAAAAAAAAACAACAACAGAGTCCCCATAACATACATAGTCAGTTAACAGAGCCCCCATAACAGAGCCGCGCGTAACAAGCAACAGAAGAGAGTCAAAACAAAACCGAAATGTGCGCCGTGTGGTATACATACACAATATTGCATGCTGGCATGCAAAAAAAAAAAAACAAAAGGGGGGGTCTGTGGGTGGAGAGGTCGGCGCTGGCTAGGTCGGGGGAGGAACCGGCTATCTGCGCGCTCTGTCTCTCTTGCTCTCTATCTCGCCCTCTTGCTCTATCGCTGTGACGTATGCGCAGCAGAAAACTTGTTTTCTCATTCCGTTTCGTTCTGGCTTTCTGCCAACTGACGTTTGCAATTGGGGAGAGAAGAGGAAGAGCAGACGTGGAATAGGAGCAGCCAAAAACAAAAACAACAAAAAGCAACCAGCTGTGAGAGCGCCACAGTGGGGCGAATCATATTAGAGATGGTACAAAATGAAATTCCTTTATTTTTTTTTATGGAAAATAAAACTTATTTATCCATTTTAAATTAAAAAAATATATTTACAAATTTTTTTAAAAATATATATATATATTTTTTTAAATTATATTATTTTTACTTATGTACGTAATGACAGTGACACGCAATCGTACCGTGCGGCTGGCGATTGTGCTGCGGCTGTGACGTCACATTTTATGGCTCGCCGGCGGCTGGTGAATGAAACTGGTTGTATTTGTTGTTGTTGTTGTTGTTGTTAAGCCGGTTGCCAAGTAATATATGTAGGCATGTACATATATACTATATATATGTACATGTATATAAACAAGATAGAAACATGTTTTGTGCCAAGTTCTAAAATTACACAGCCGAAACCGAAACAACAACAAGAACAATCATGCAACTAATTTTCATTTAAAAATGGCAGAAATAAACAAAAAACCGAAACACAAGGAATTTAATTCAGTTTTTTTTTTTGATTCATTCGCATGAAAAATCAATAACAGAAAGGCGTGAATGGGAAATTGTAGGGAAATGGAAAAACAAAAATATTTAAAAATATATTTACAGAAATATTTCAATTATTTAAGCGTAAATATTAGTTTTTCAATTAAAACTCTTAAATTATTAGAGAAAGGACCTTGAAAAATATGTAGATATATTTGGTATAAAGTTGTAAGATTATTAAAAAACCAAAATCAAAAATCCATATCCGATCTGTATATTCCAGAGCACATGTCCCCGGCCAGCCGACGCAATGGATCGAGCCCGCCCTCGGGGCCCATGCCCCCGCGCAGCGTACACTCGCCGAACAGTTCGGGTTAGTTTTTATCTCAAATTTTATTATTATATTAAATTTAATCAAAATAAATCTTAAAAAATATATCTAAAATATCTAAACATTGAACAAAATTTTGTATTAACTCTTTTTTTTCTCTGTGTACTTTTAGGATCCTCATCGGGTCGCCGTTCTTCGGGATCACGTCATGTTTCCAGCACTACGGTAACTAGCTCCGAGGTGGGCGGCTCCAATCCCAGCCAGGCGGTGGTGGCCGGCGGCCTGGCCGGCGCTGGCGGAGCTGCCGGTGGCTCTCTGGGCGGACCGGGCGGCGCTGGCAGCGGACAGTTGAGCAGCTGCACCAGCGGCGGACCCAGTGGCGGTGCAAGCGGCGGCAGTGGCGGCAACGGGGCACCCGGCGGAGCGTCCATGGGGCCCAATTCGGTGGCCGGTGACGGCAGCCCGGCTAGCGGCGGCAGTGGCCCGTCCGGCAGCAATGGCAGCGGAGGATCGGTGAATCCCGGACCGGGCAGTAGTGGCAGCCAGGGAGGTGGTGGCGGCGGTGGTGGAGGGACCCCGCTGTCCACGCTGGGTGGCGGTGGAGCGGCGGGCGGGGGCGGGCTGAGCGGAGCCCCCGGAAGCAGTGCCGCCTCGAATTCGGCAGCCGCAGCGGCGGCAGCAGCAGCCGCCCAGAATGCCACGCTGAAGTGCACCCTCTGCCAGGAGCGTCTGGAGGATACACACTTTGTGCAGTGCCCGTCGGTGAATCACCACAAGTTCTGCTTCCCCTGCAGCCGCGAGAGCATCAAGCGCCAGAATGTAAATATTTTCTTTAAATTTTTTAAGAAATTTCCTAAAAATTCTATAAATTTTCAGGGACTGGGCAACGAGGTGTACTGCCCCAGCGGAGATCGATGTCCTTTGGCCAATTCGACGATACCGTGGGCCTTTATGCAGGGCGAGATCACCACCATCCTGGGCGAGGAGGTGAAGGTGAAGAAGGAGCGCGAGTCTTAATGTCCGTTTTACTGTAAGAAGCTGCGCAGAGCTTTGGAGAACTTTTGAGAGGCGCCCGGGGGCACCGCATCCTGGCACCTGACAGACACACACACACATACAGTCCCTGGCATATATATCCCCATCCCCTAGACCGGGGCGGGGTGGGACTAATTTTATTTATTTTTTTTTTTTAATTTTAATTTTTATTTTATTTTATTTTATTTTTTTTTTTAACTATGGCGGTGACATCAGAATTGCATCTGAATTTGTCCATGACGACCGACCAACAACAACAAAAACAACATCAATTTTGTAGACGTTTAAGAAGAAAAGAGAAGAGAGAAGATTTTCAAAAAAGAATCCAGAAGACCAGCATGCAAGTCCGCAAAAAAAGTAAAAAGAAAGAAACACCAACAAATGTTGAAAAAAAATTTGAAAAAACATTTTTTGTAGCATACTTGTAGGCGGCGTTGGGAAATTGTCCAAAAAAAGAAAAAAACAAAAACAAAAGAAACACCAACAAAAAAATGAAAAACTTACGAAACAAAAAGCAAAAAAACATGCATACGTAGCCAAGTGAGAGAAACTTTAAATATTTCTTAATAAAAATAAAAAAAAAAACAAAAACAAATCTTAATTGTAGCGGAAAAAAAAAACACAAACAAATAAATGAGAAAAAGAAAGAGAATACACTTGCTGGTAGTAGAAATAAAATCCTCCTTTTTTTTTTTAAATACGAGTATACTTTTATGCAAAAAAAAGGATATAAGATAATAAAACTAAAAAAACCTATATACTATATACAATAACTATAAATTCTGTTATGTAGGAGAGCGATTTAAATCATAAGTTACGCTTAGTTCGTACTAATTAATTAATTTATTTCTATACATGTTGCCTAATTTACAAAAAAAAAAAACTATATCCCTCAAAATTTATATCCTAAATCTAAAAACAGTTTTTTTTTTGATTATTTTGTATTTTTTTTGGTAAGATTAAATTTTTTTGTATTTAAAAAAAAATAATTTAAAGAAAGAAAGAAAAAAAAAACCACGAAATGAAACGGAAAAGAAAGAGAGAAAAACAGTTAATATGCTAAAGATCTGTACATACGTATGCATACCACATAATCGGAATATAAAATATATACAAAATATTTAATAATATAGAAATATATTTAATGTTGAAACAGAATTTTTGGCAGCAAAACTAGCAAGTTTTGCTCGGGGGGCGTACACCCATTAACACCGAAAGGAATTTTTAAAAAACCGACTTTTTAAACTCGAGGCGAACCAGAGCCGAGGCCATCCAGCAAAGGTGGGCCCACAATGGTATTATACACAAAATGGGAATATTTGTAGCTCTAGACACAAAATTTGGTGGAGTCGAAAGGACTCCTTAAATTGGAAACATTTACTGGACCAATCGATTTCAAGAGCGATAGTTATCGGCAGCTGCAAAGTTATCGGACTTTTGGTCGAAATGTCAACTGTACTTTTTGCAATTCCTATTATAGGAACTCGATTTTAATGCAGTCCCTTGGCGGTTTTTTATTTAAAGAAAAATATGCTAATTTTGAAGCATTCAAATGAGACAATTTTTAAGGAAAGAACTTGCCATTTTCTCAAGGTTTTATTTCCATTTTCTTGGTAGCACAATTGATTCGTTTTTGAGAACTTATCGATAAGAAATCGATAAATTTTCGATAAAAGTAAGTGGAAGAACCTAAACGTGTAGCCAAGGTACACATTTCCAACTTTTGATTTAATATTTAATTATTTTTAGTTTCTCCAACCCTTTTCTCAACAGAAACAAACAAACAAAAAAAAAAGAAAAAACCAAGCAAAAACGAAAAAATAATCGATAAAGAAAACACATTTTGTGATATAGCCTAGCAAGAACAGCAACAACAAGAGGAAGGAAGCAATGGGAGGTCCTGGAAATCGGAAAAGCTTAATTGGAAAATTTATGTGGAACCTTACCATACGCAAAATTTTTTAAAGGTTCCCCCAAGACTCGAAAAAAATGAAGAACGATCTCAAGCAAGGGGTTGAAATCTCACTTTAAAAAAACAAAAATGAGAGAAATTGAAAATTAAAACAATTTAAAAATCATAAAATAGGCGAATACCAACGTTTTAGCAATCTAAGTCTAAGAAAGGAAACTAATCGAAATTTTCTTTACAAACAAAACTAAAGTAAACTAAACTAAATATAAATTTAAAAAAAAAAAAAAGAGAAAACTAATTAATAACGTTTGTAAACTTTGTGCGTGTGTGTGTAAAACAGTAGTGCTATAAAAGAATAGAATACCAATCCAGATATCCCATAATGCATCAGAACCCTATTGAAGTAACGAGTACATACATTTCAATATAAAATTAAAAACCAAAAAAAAAACCACAAAAAAAAAATATGAAAATATAAACTATATTTGTGTGTTTGATGTCATTAACTAAATGTTAAAACAAAAAAGTCAACTAATGATCACGTAATTGTATTGCATAGCCTAACATTTTTTGAACGATGCCGAATAAGTAAAAAAAAAAAAGAATAAAATCAAATCGATTTAGCATGAGTATCAACTTTATACTACATATATGTATACATATACATAAACACATATATTTGTACCACATACTATATATATATATGTGTGTGTGGTCGAACTAGCAAAGAGGCGGAAACGGAAGTTGGCAGAACGATTGATTAATCAATCACACAATCGATTGATTGGAGACCTTGATAACGGGGCAAAACAATTAAAAGTAATATAAAAAGTCAAGAAAAAAGCCATACCAGCGTTTGCTGTTCGAGTTTTATTTGCTTTTGGGTGGAATGGATGTTTAAAAGTGGATTTCAGATGTGGTTTTTGGTTCTTTGGGTTTTATCAAAAAACATAGCATACATTTTGGGTGATTCACGTTTTTTCCCATAATTATTTTTCTCAAGCTTATTGTTTTAAATGGCGGGTGTTTATATGTTTAACTTACTCTTTGCAGTTAATATAATTCTTTTTACTTTAAAAATCTAGAAATTTAAAAAAAATTTAAGGCCTACATGGCGTATGATTAATTTTTACAATGTGGGCTTTTGAAAATAACATTAAAATATGCAAAAGTAGGGTTTTTCTATAATATTTTTTAGTATTATCTGGTGTTTTAATCAGGAGAGTAAGAATTAAAATTTTTGAAGGGACACCATGGCTTATGAGTGATAAATATTAATCATACGCCATGTGGGCTAAAGGAAAAATCAAAAAGGCCATCTCTAGCGATTTATCGATAGGAATTCAAGCAATAGGACTTGTAGTTGAAAAAAGGACATTTAAATAAATAAAATTTTACTTAAAAATATGTTTCTTGCTCTTTTATATTTAAATGAAACTTAGTTTTTAAAAGGAAACAATGTTTTAGGTATTAATTTTAAATAACTCTCCATGTAAGTATATAAAGAAAACCTAAAAGCCCGCCCTTTTGATTTCAAAAGTTCCACCTCTAGATATCCTTAAAAGCTTAGTTTCAATACCTAAGCCATAGAGGTCGCTTTGCTGCGCAGAGAGCACTGGAATTTCCTCCCTCTCTCTTGGCTTTCCCTCCGTCTTCAGGCCCGGCAACCGATGGGCTCCAATGTTTACATTTTAACGACCTGCACCCACACATCCGCACATACACCGCAAGGATAAAGAGAGAGAGAGAGCAAGTCGCCAAAAGTTCGGGCTCGTGACTCTATTTTTTTTTTCGGCAGCTACTTCGGGCGGAGGCTCTCAGCTGCTGTGGCCGCTGATTGCGATTCCGATTCTGCGGCTGCTACTGCTATTGCTGCCGCTGCCGCTGCCAACTGCTGGCGCTGCTTTCACCGCCGCTGCTTTCACACAGTGGCTCCGTTATTTGTGCGTGCGCGTTGCCAATAAACGGGCAGCGGCTTCTGCTGGCGCAGCCAATTTCGTGTGATAAAAAAAAAACAACCAGAAAGATGTGGATTGCGATTTAGACGTGTTTTTTTGCGTGCGTGTGTGTGTGATCCCCCTTTTTTCCGGTAAAATAACAATTTCCATTTAATTTTCATTTTATCTTCGGCTTATCAGATTGGTCTGTGCGTGCGTGTATCGGTGTGGGTGTGCGTGTGTGTGCGAGATGGCCCTAAAATGTAGGCAACCAAAAGTGTTAGGCAGCCAGCTTCCTCTTCCTGCCTCTCCCGACATTTTCCTCTCCGTCAGAGCAATGTTTTTGTGTTATACACAGAAGGAAACACGGATAAAGGGAACACGGTGCACGGGAATATACCGTGACTTGCCTTGCGCCCACGCACACATCTCCAATAAAGGAGAGTGACGCGGGCGCACTCATGCTCTCACGCGGAAGCTCCAACGCTTATGCTCTCCGGCCAGCCATCTCTCCGGTGTGGTTGCTCCTGGTTGCACAGTGGGCATAGCTAGTGTGTTTGTTACTTCAAAAAAACAATATTTATTTTTTAATAAAAATTAAATAATATTAAGAAAACTATGAAGTTCATATAAAAAAATTTTATAAAAAAGGTGTTTATACTGAAAAGGTTTAAATAAGAGAAATACATTCTAGAAAAATAACTAACCTTTGCTTCTTAACTTATTTTAAAAGCTAAAAGCTTACTATTTTTTTTGTAAAAATAAATGATATTTAAATAATTCATTATGTAAAATAATTAAAATTGAATTATGAAATCAACGTTCACCGCCCACTGTGCCAAGAGACAATGTCCCTAAATTTTTGGTCCTTTTTTTTGGGTGAACTAAAATGATGTTGACTCAACAACGGTACATGCAAAAACAAAAACAACGCCAGCAGAATCAGCAGCAGCAGCAACAACCTGACAACGAGAGATAACAACGGTGCTGTGTAGTTTTCATAGCGGAATTTCTCCTAGCTCTTAATAAGTGTATTTTCCACGCTGCTGGACAAATAGCTAAGCTCAAAAATTAAATAAATTGTGCAGAAAAATTTGTAAAGGTGCAAAAAAAAAAAGAAGAAGCAAAAAACTAAAGTGGGGGGGTCTCGGAACAAGCAAAGAGGAAATAAACTGGGGAGAGAGACTAAGAGATTGTAGAAGGGAAATAGAGAGAGAGAGGCAGTTAAACAAATCGCCATTCATTCACAAGTGCAATGTGCAGCAACAACAACAAAAGCCACAAATAGAGCGGCTTAGAAATAAAAAAAAAAAATAAATAAAAAAAATATGAAAAAAATGAGTGAAGCGCGTGCTTAACCTAAAAAAAAAAAATGGAGAATACAAATTCGCACACACACATACATACATACACACAAACACACTTGGCAACTCTATTCAAGCTCTTTGTCTTTTACTTCCGCTATTCGCAGACAACAACAACAACTACAGCAACAATCGAAATAACAACAACAACAATGCATAGTTCCTGCTGAGTAGCTTTTTGTATAATCGAATGAATGTGTGAGTGTAATCGCTGTGAGTGTGTGTGTCCAAGGAAAGTTAATCGAACAGAAGAAGAAACACCAAATAACAACAACAACAACAACTAAACACTGCCGCCTACAAACAATAAGAAAAAAGGAAAGAGAAGAAACCTCGAAGATGCTCTTGTCGCAACAATAAAACGAAAGCCGGAAGAAGAACTAGAAGATTCGATGTTGAAAAAGTGTGAGGTGAATAAAGGACGAAGGACGACGAACAATAGCTAGAAGAAGCAGCTCATCCCTTGTAGCTAGTTGAAATTGAAACCTATAATGCACCTTAGGAAAATTGCAACACCTATTCCAACAACAAAAACTGTAATAACAACAACGACACAACGTTAACAACAACAAAAAAGCAACTAGAGCTGTTATAAAATAAAAGAAAAAACAACAAGCATTTCAACTAAATACTTTTCAACAACTATAAAATCTAGTCACATTTTTGAAAAAATTAAAAAAAATATACTACTTGTTGGAATAACGATTCCAACAACATAACAACACATTCCATCAACAAATTATTAAAAAAAAAACATCTACTACTTGTTGGTGTAACAATTTCAACAACAAAAATCATCCAACGATAGAAAAAAAAGCACAAAAGTTAACTTTCAACTATGCATATACTACAACTTAAACTAAAACTTCAACTAAAAACTAATATTTAAACTTAAAGCACAAATTTTAAAGCATACTTTTCGGCACTCTACTATATTTAATAAAAATTAACTTCTAAAATAAAAAAAAACCATATAACATTATATTAACAAACCATTTATAATTATTTAATGATTAAAGTATTAAAATTAAAAAAATGCTAAAAAATAAGCTAAAAAATAAGCTAAGAAATCAAAGCTAGTTGGGAAATATTTGAAATACAAATTTTAATTCGAAAACTAAGATCCCAAGCCCACCATGGAGCGGATGTGGCGTAAAGTGAACCACAGCTTGCGGAACACCAACAAGTCCCAAGTGCCACAGCCGGCAACAGGGACGGGCGGTGGCGACGGAACACCCGGTGGTGCAACAGGCACAGCTGCCACACCACAATCCACCGATACGATCAGCTCCGCCGGCGGCTTTGGAGACGGCCAGCTGGTGGTGGCTGTCCAGGGTCTGCCAGCGGGCACCACTGGCGGCAGTAATGCCACCGGTCGGCGTCTCGCCAGCAGCGGCGGTGGCAACTGCCACAAGTCGCTCAGCCAGCATGTCCTGCAGACGCGTACTGCATCCTCGGAGCGACGGAGACGCCGCAGGCGGAAGAGCCGACCGCGGCGCAGTGGAGGCATGGGCGTTACCAGTTGTGTCGGCGATCCAGGAGGCGATAATATGTCGTAAGTATCCCTTAAGCTTAAAAACATCTTCCAGACAGTCTATGGTATATCCTAGAAACCTATTTATGGTAAAATTCTCAACAAAAACCAATTCCAGTTCCTCTGGCGGCTTCTACACTTTGAAGGAACACCACCAACACTACCGTCCCAGTAGTCATCACCATGGCGGAGGCGGGACCGGTGTCGGCGGGAGTTCTCGCCGTCTGTTTGCCACTTCGGCGCCCAGCGGCACAGTGATGATGTATCCGAATCCCCAGCGAACATACGGCGGATCTGTGGTGGCCACTGGACAGCAGGCTGCAGTTGGCGGGGGCACCACGGCCGGTGGAGGTGCCACAGCCACAGCCGGAGGTGGTACCAGTGCCGGAGGTGCTGGAGGATCTGGCGGAGGACAGCCGGATATATCGTTGCGACAGCGGGCGGTGGCCAAGCTGAGAATGTTCAACTTCCATCTCAACTGGGATCTGCACATGACGCATTGCAAGCCCTGCGGGTGAGTAGCTGGCACGCCTATACACTGAAAAAAATATATTAAAAAATATTAAAATTTATTTTTTATTAAAAAAGCATGATTTTATTTTAAAACTTTATTTTAAAAAAGATATTAAAAAAAGTCTACAAGCCCTATCTCCATTTTTAAAACCTAAAGCCTGGAAATTTTCATAAAAAAATACTAAAAAATATATGTTAAGTCCTTTAAGCACTTGCTGTGTGTGTGTGTGTGTTTGTAACTTGCCAGCTGGAGTTGCAACTGGAGCCCCTCAGTGGAGTTGGAGTGCCCAAGTGGCTGCCACTTGAGTCTGCTCCAGTGGCTTGTGCTTTTGTTTGCCACAGAGTTTTCCACCGGGGGTTTTTCCTCATTTTTTTTTTGCTTCACAACCTCTTCTCTATATTTTGTTTCCCCGCCCTCGAAAGTTTTATATTTTGTTGTTGTTGTTTTTGTTGTTGTTGTTGTGTGGTGCAGTGGTTTTGGTTGCAATTTGCAACTGGGTTGCCTTTGCAACCCATTCAAGTGGCCGCGGGCGTTGAACGAACCCGCAAAATGCAAAAAGTGTGTCGCCGTTCCATCCAAACGTTTCTCTTCATTCCATACCATTCCGGATTTAATTTCCCGACCGACTTTAGGCCGCCACATAACTTTCAGACATCCAAGGGGGGCAATAAGGTAAATGGAGCAGAGTTTTCTTTGGACCTTATGCCACATGCCACTGCCCTCATGCCCCACTCTTTCTCCAAAACGAATGTGTGAAATTTTAATGAAGCGCCAGCTAACGAGCTCCAATGTGCCTTGTACTCTTTGTCTTTATTTGCTTTTATTTTAAAATATATATATATTTTTTTTTTTGGGATGTAAGGATTTTAAAAAAAAATGTACATATATCATCAGAGTGGAAGAGACGGGTTTTTTAGGAGGTCAATTATCGGATAAGATATAACAACCACCTTTAATTTCAATTTTAATTGAAAATATTCCCACAGACAGGTCCCTAGGCCCTTTTGACTAATCCTTATTCCTCATTCCATTTAATATATATTTGTAAGTATCGTATATCCTTAATTGACAGACCTCGTCTGAGCGGCAGTGGCGGCAACATAATCACCCGCCGGCTATGCAGGAATCGTCGGCGGGAGGACAACGAGCTGTACCGCTCCAACAGCTTCAAGTTTGAGCGTTTTGAGCGCAAGGAGTGCCTCGAGGAGCTCTCCAACACGTTGCAAAAGCAGGTGAGTAAGGGATACATAATTATTCTCCAGCTAGAGACAGTTAATTTACACAAAAAAAAAAAAATATATAAAGTGAGATATTAAAAAATTGGCGCTAGTTTTTAAGACTTATTCCTTCTTTATGACGAAGCGTTAGTCATAAAGACTTGGCGTAGTTTAAAGCCCTAGGTTTTGGTCACACTTTTTTTTAATATAACACTTTGCCACACTGGTTTTAAAAGATTCATATTTCTAACACAATAAGCGGTAGATTTTAGGAGACGAGGCCTACACTATTTTTCTTATACAAAATTATTTAAATAAAGGCTTAGCTTTAAAGATTCGAGGTATTTTTGTACAAAAATTTTGTGCAATACTGTTTTTTCTGTACAAAACCTTGCAACACTGGCTACTAAAAACTTTTCTAAACATTCTAAAAACTAATTTTTCCAGTGCCCTTAGCGACCACCACATGTTGCATGTCCCCAATAATTTATGCGCATAGATTACGCCTAATTGAAGTATCCCCAAACAAAAAAACAAAAAAAAAATGCCAAAAGAAAAGCAACGTCGGCCACACTAATTAGTGGGACTGCCAGGCGCTGCAGGGGTTCGTTGGGCTTCAAATCACATTAATAGGAATTGGAGGGGGACGGGGGAAGAGGCGGCAAATTGCATCAGCCCGGGCTTGGGGCAAGCCTCAGGTCTCTCAGGTGGTTGCCGTTGTCTGACCGAAAAGAAAGTTCAATCCTCCTGGTTATTTAGTTAATTTCTTTTTTCTATCGGGGGTAAGGGAAACCTCGATGGGTGTTGGTTGGATGGCCTAGAATCTAATTAATGGCGCACAACAAATTGAATTTTAATTGGGCGCCGAATTTGATTTGGCAGCCAAAAAAAAAATCGAAGTCGCCCAGGACTGGGGGGCCGCAGGGCGCCAAGACCGATAACCAAGTTAAATTGAAATTGAAACTGGCGGTGGGTGGAGCTTAATTAATATTTAAACATAATTAAAGTTGCTGCTTTAATGAGGTTCACAAAAATAATAATTATAATAGAACAAAGTTGAAACCAAAAGGAACTTTTAAGTGAAATCTTTACAAATTTCCAAGTCTATGAAATGTGACCAAGGGCTCTGATTTCTATTTGACCAAGGGTGTGGCTGTTTTTTTTTGGCTTTTCTTTAGTTCGAAGAGTATTTAAGGCCTTGCCTCGCTTTTAATTTTTAGTTCAGTTCGGGCCACTGGCCCCGACGGACTCCCAACAAGTCCAAAGTTGGTTTCTTATTTTATTTTTCTTTTTTTTATTTTTATTTTGATTTTATTTAAATTTATTTTTTTAATTCAAAACCTTGGGCTCTATTTGACGGCGTCCCTATACTCCCCTGGGAATATTTCATTTAATTTTTTATTTTAATTATTAATTAAGGAGTTCTGGGCTTTCGCTGTGCCACACCTCCACTTGTGAAATGTAATTTATTATCATTTTATTTTTATTTTTTTCATTTTTATTTTATTTTTATTTTTATTTTTATTCCAAATGCAAGTAATGGATCCTTGTCGATACAGAGTTTGTTGCAACGTCATCCGTTCATCCCTGGAAAGTCTTCCATCCCTTAAAAGGCTTTTTATTTTTTGAATTTATATTTTTTAATTAAATAATGACCTCTGGACCTGATTTTAATTATTTTTTTTTTTTTGTCATACAAAACCATGGACTCTATTTGACGGCGTCCCTATATCCCCCCTGATTCCCAATTGGTCTCATTTTATTTGATTATTTCATTTTCTATTTTATTTTTATTTTAATTATTATTCATTAGGAATAATGGATTACTCTTGGAGTTGCTGATGATTATGCTGATTTGCTGATTTTAAATTTATACTCAATTTCTTTTTTAAAGGCCTATGCTTCTTAAAGGCTCTCAATTTGTTTAATGACTGTTTTTTTTATATAATTATTCTTTTTTAATATTTTTATTTTTCTTAAATACAATCGTTTTTGTTTGTAGCTGCGTAGTTTAGCTGTTTGGGCCTGTTTATTAATTTTATTAACGAAAAACGTATTTTTATTTATTTTATTTTTAATGGAATTTTAAAAATCTCTTAAAAATGTAGAATCTCAAACAACAAAGAATAAAACCACGCTAATGCGATTTCTTGTCACAGAAACTTTAACTTTGTTTTATTTTTTTTTACGCCTCCGGGCGGCTTTGTTTGGTGGGTGGTGTCGATGGTGGGTTGGTGGGAGTACACCGTGGAGGAAGTCCTGTTCGGCTTTGGCACTCCATCAGGATGCGGCTAAGTGACAGGCCGACCATTTATCAGTTTGTCTAAGTACGCTGCGGTCTCTGTCTGCCCGAGCACTTTAAATCATCATCCTTTTTCGAAAGTACTGCTCCTGCTTCGGCCATCCATCAGGTTGGATATCCTTAGCCGTGAGTCCAACTGTCAGCTGTCGGCTTCGATAAGCCGCGAGGACATTGGAGCTCCATGAATCCCCAAGTTTGGCCTCACCTGCTCGATAAATAAATAAGGACTGCAATCTAGAATGCATGAAGTGGTCTTCTGGCAAAAAAGAAAAAATGGATAAAGACAAAGTAATACCCTAAGTCTCTTTATTTTAAAACGGAACTAGAAAGCCTTAGAGTCGGTACTCACATTAAAAAAAAATATTATAAAATCTTTAAAGATAATATATACTATATATAGTATCTTCTAAAATATAAAGCCAACCCTCTATCTAAACTAAAATACCTTTAAAACCAATGGGTAGACAGCGACTCCCTCAAGCCATTCCCCATCCAATTTCCAACTGATGCTGAGGCTTCCGGATTTTGATGGATTTATCAGGTGTGTGTGTGTGTGTGGGTGTGTGGTTTTTGGGGCTTGTGGCATCCATCCGGCAATCTAACAATCCGGGAAAACACCTATCCAGCTATCCAATAGGTTTGGGGATTTATTTCTTCCCTCAATTCCCAGCGACAACTCTCACGTGAGGGGGCCAAAAGGCACTCTCACTAATAACTTGTCGGAGTTCGGGAGTAGAAAGTTCGGGAGTTCGAGTCCCTCGATATTTACCTACCTCCCCCCCCAGCCAAAACCCCATCCACATCAACCACTTGTGGCAGTCATTGTCAATTTGATTTAATCCAATAGGAAAAATAATGCAAAATCGGTAAATGGACAAGGAAAAATGATGTTTCACAATTTTTGTTGGCAGCTTAAGTAGTTCCCACAAATCACTGCCAAAAACTGTAAACAAAAAAAACGTAAATAAATAAATAAATAAATATATAAGTAGATGAAGTTGAAAATTTGAGAGTAAATTCGATTTGATTTTGATTTGATTGAACTTTATTGGTGTTTGATTGACCAGAGACTTGGGGGAACCAGAATTGGGTTATTAAATATTCAAAATTGAGGGCTAAGGGCTTATTTTATTCAATAATGTTGATGATTTAGGGATTTTTTTTTTGGTTATTTAATATTTATTTAATAGCTATTGTAAAATAAAGAAAAGCTTATAAAATACTAGCATTTTTTACCAAGATTTTGTCTGGTATTTTATCAGTGCTGCCAATTTGTTAGTTTTTCATTAAAAAAATTATTGATTTGAGATTTTTAAAGAATATTTTAGACTTACCATACTAATGTTCAACTTTATTGAAGCTTCAAAAAAGCAAACAAGTCATTTTAAAACGTAGATATATAAAGAATAGTAAATTACTTAGAAATACTAGCCAGTTTTATAGTACAAATAGCTACTGAAATACTAACAGTCATAGTCTGAGGTTTTAAAGGACATTTTAGCTGACTTATTATTTATTTTTTATTAAATATAGTATGTATAAATTAGTATACCCATTTATTCTTTCAATTTTTAAGAGTAATATCCACTATAATGTACCTTAAAATACTAGTATTCTTCAGAACGATGTTTTGTGGTATTTAACCAGAGCTGCCATGCATCTAAGCATTTTTAGGGTATTTTTTCTCCAAAAAGGAGGGATTTTTAAAGAAATATTTGCCAATAGAAGTATTTTTAAGACTCAACTTAAAATATTTTTAAAAATCAAGCATGGGCAGCACTTTCTTTCTACCTGAAAGTCTATCTAAAATAATTTCCTTTCGGTTGAAATTTAGGTTGCCTCCCTCTGAAGAAAAGTGACATTTTTTTTTTTGGCAAAGGACACTTGGCCTAACAAATTTTGATGCATTTAAATTACACTGGCCTCAATTTTTTATTTCTATAATTCCCAGTTGGGATGGTTGAGGATTGAGGGTTGAGGAGGGGTCACCTCATTTCAATTTCTTCTGGCAGTCGAGAGAGAACCTTCATTTGTCACTGTTCACCTTTGGCTTGGGACTTTCTCGGTTCTCCGCTTTCACATTGAAGGAACCACAATGGCCTGTCGACAGGCTTTTTTGGCTGCCATTGTCCTGGATAATTTCCATCATCTAATGCTGCGTTATCTTGAAAGGTGGTGGAGCAAGTTTTTGGGGGGATGGTTTCCTTGGGGTGGTTGGGATGGTTGGGTTGGGCCATCATCATCATCATCACCACCCGCCTTCACATTATTTTTGATGGAACAATTTTGAACATTAGAGCATTGCTCAGTGATCTGTGTATGCCGGCAATCATTAGCCTCGATGTCCGTTGTCCTCGCTTCATTCATGCAACAATTGTTCCCAATTCGCCCCCTCCCTTCCCTGTTTCCCCATCATTTGTTGCGTGTGAATTATTGTTGGCAATAAACGTGAAATTGCCCTGTCAGTCAAGCAATCTGCAAGAAATGAAGGCTCACTTTGGCATCCAAATATAAGTAGCTTTACTCTGCCACCCAGTTGCAATAAAACGAGTTAATTTCCGATGCCGAACTGCGAAAAACTTGGAGAAGTAGGCTTCCCATCTAGATTTTCTTCAACAAATTTAATCAAACACATACTACACATGGTGGGGAAGAGTGAAGAAAAGGGGGGTTTCCCTACAATCCTCACACCCATACCCATACCCATACCCAT